GGTCACATGAAACTCTCATTTCTCGGCTTTGACATAAAGCTGGTTGTCCATAAGCCTCTGCACCACCAGGCGAACGTGTTGCACATGAGAGTCTTTGTTGGGCGAGAAGATGAGGATGTCGTCCAAGTAGACGAACACAAATAGATTGAGCATGTCTCTGAGAATGTCATTGACCAGCACTTGAAATACAGCTGGGGCGCTAGTAAGTCCAAACGGCATTACAAGATACTCGTAATGGCCTGTGGGTGTGTTAAAGGCAGTCTTCCACTCGTCCCCACTCCTCATTCTCACCAAGTGGTAGGCATTACAAAGATCCAATTTGGTGAAAATCTTGGCTCCCTGAAGCAGTTCAAAGGCGGTGGAAATCAGGGGTAGGGGATAACGGTTCTTCACCGTGATGTCGTTGAGTCCCCTGTAATCAATACAGAGTCGTAGGGACTTGACTTTCTTTTCCACGAAGAAGAAACCGGCTCCTGACGGGGACGAGGAAGGATGGATAATCCCTGTAGGCACTGATGTCTCCACGTAATCCTTCATGGCCGCCATCTCGAGGGGGCGACAGAGAAAACAGTCGCCCCTTAGGTGGGGACGTACCAGGCAACAAGTCATGGCACAATCATACGGTCTATGGGGCGGCATTGATGTAGCCTTAGTCTTGTTAAAGACGTCCTTTAAGTCCAGGTAATCCTCGGGTACGCCCGAAAGATCCGGAAAGTCAACTGACTCCCCCTCCTGCTGAGTGGTAGGAGCCATGGTGTCATTGCCCCCTACCTCCAACTTAGCCGGAAAACAGGTCTGCTCACACACTCCTCCCCAGCTGCGTATCGTGCCCGAAGGCCAGTCCATGTGAGAGTTGTGCAATGTAAGCCACGGAAACCCAAGAACAACGGGGTGACCCGGGGAATCAAATACGTGGAACGTCAGTCTCTCTGTGGCCATCAGGAAAAGTCATTGACACAGGGGACGTGCGATGAGTAATTTGCCAGAGAAGGCCTCCATTCAATCCTGTAGCGTCTAATGGCATGGGAAGACGAATAGAGTTCAGCGACAAATCCCTGGCGAGAACCGCATCCATCAGGCTGGTGTCCGCGCCAGAATCAACCAACACAGTCTGAATCCGAGAGACCGATCCGTTCACTAGTGTAACTTCTTGCTTGGGTCGAGAAGGACAAACAGGAACATATGTACGGCTCACCAGCTCCCTCTCTCCTACTGGTGAGCCCCATCTTTTACTGGACAGGAAGCAACGAAATGTCCCAACTGGGCACAATAGATGCAGCGGCCCGCTCTCTTGCGACGGTGGTGCTCCTCCGGCGACAGATGAGTCCTCCCCAGTTGCATCGGCTCCTCGGAAGGCAAAACCCCCGGACTGTGAAGGTCCGTGACCGTAGATTGAGTACGACAAAACTCTCTGGGTGAGTCGAATCGCCTCTGCTGCCCAATAGGATAACTGATACGTAGCTTCGGAGTGCCAGGTTGAGTACGCTGGAAAATCCTTGATGTCTCTGGCGCCCTCAGCTGGTAGGTGGAGACCCCTCTCTGCTGTAGTCTCTGGTGTAGTCTCTCGCGCCCTCTTCACCGTCAGGGCCACCAGTGCATCCAGATCGGCGGGTAAGTCCAAGGAGATCAATTGATCTTTCATGATATGTGATAGTCCATGTAAAAAAGCGTTACACAGGGCGGATGAATTCCAGCCGCTCTCCGCAGCTAGAATACGAAACTCTACAGCATAGTCCGAGACTCCTCTCCAGCCTTGCTGTAGACCCACCAGAGCTCGAGCAGCCTCCCTCCTGGGAGTAACATTTTGAAAGATATGAAAGTCTGAGTGAAATTGGCGTAGGAATCACATACCACAGATTTACAGCTCCATTCTGCCGTAGCCCAGGATTCCGCTCTTCCGGTGAGATGTGAGATCACAAAAGCCACCTTGGCTCGGTCTGTTGGATACGCTGCCGCTTGTAATTCGAAGTGCAACTCACACTGCGTCAGGAATGCCCAGCAATCTTCCAATTCTCCCGAAAACCTCTCCGGTTTGGCGAGATGTGGGGATGGTGCAGAAGGGACTGTCTCCCCGACAGGATCACCTCCCGACGTTGCAGGGCCGGAAGTGGCTGTGGAACTGCTCCCGGTGCTGGGTACGTCCGCAGAATCCCTTGCTGTCTTCAGCAGAACATGAGTGACCAGCTGGGGGACTTGCTCGCTCAGTCCGGCCACCTGGCTCTCCTGTCGGCTAGCCATAGCCATGAGCTCATTCCGTAGAATAGCAATCTGCTCCTCCTGTTGTTGCAGACGCTGACCCTGCGGCCGCAGGGCTGCTCGCACCGCCTCGGAGTCGGCTGAGTCCATCTTGTCCAGATTGTACTGTCAGGCTACAATGGCGGACCCAAATGCACGACTCAGGAAACAGGGATAAGGGTAATCGGTTTATTGCTCCCAGACAGATGCAGGCAACAGTACAGGTCCAACAGGCAATAGGTCCAGGTACACGAGAAGACAAAACAAGAGAACGCTGGAAAGTGAGTCGAGCTACAACAATCTGGCAGGGGATCAGTGAACAGTCAGTGAGATTATATACACGGGGGAGGGGAAGACAACTAGACACAGGTGAGAAACATCAGAGTGAAGACTGGCAATCAACAGGCAGGAAGACAAGTGACGTGAATAGGGACGAACAGTGGGTGGAAAATAAATGCATGGAAGTGCATGGAAACCGACGGAAAACACAATAAGAGCAGAGAATGATCTTACACATAAGCATTATCAGAAACAAACAAATGTCTGACCTTTTTAATGCAAAGGGGGTAAACCGCTGTAGGAAGGATGCCCAGACATATAACTGTTATCAGAAAGTGTTTTACGATGGGGGTGTGAGAGTAAAACAAGCATTATACTTAAGTATATATTCATTAAGGTTTCTCAACAATATGACAGTCCAGAGGGGGGTTAACCATCTAAAGCATCGATGAGGTCTAGTGATTTTATAGTTGTTTCATTTTCTCCATCTTAACGTATTTAAATTGTATTTGAATGTATACATATATCCTTTAGAAAGCAACTGCAGCCAGAATCCTAAAGATTGTGGAAGGTTAACCACATAAAGCTTAGAAACAGACCTGCAGACCGAGCTAAGAAACCTTCAAGAAATACAATAACAACGCGAAGCATTGAGTGTCACGGTGTCGTCTTTTGTAGTTTTCTGCCACTTGTGTCCCCGGGTAACTTCACTTCCTGCCTTGTCCTGTCATCCCCTGTGATCGTCTAATAGCTTCCACCTGTGTCCAATCACCTGCACCTCCCTTGTGTATTTAAGCCGTGTGTCTCTTGTGTCACTTGTCGCGTCATTGTCTTTCGTCGTGGATGTTCGTAGTTCCTGTCTGCCGTTTTTCCCCTGGTTCCTGTGTGTTTTTGCCCCTTGGCCTTTTGCTTTTGCCCGTTTTGACAATTAAAGTCTTTTGCTTTCCAAGAAGTCTGCGATTGAGTCCTGCCTCCTCCACGCATCCCTGACATTGAGTGGCTTACCACGACCCTCAACAATTAGCCGTCCTTGGATGGTAAGGACGTGAACACAGTGATATAACATTTTAGACCTTTAACCTACCATACATAACTTTTGTAAAATATTCTCCAGTGTGTTCTCCAAAAGGATCAAAGTGGGTTAAACCCACAATAAAAACGCCTGCGACCCCCCTTACACGCACGCGCATTATTGTGCAGGCGCATCCGCCCATCCCCCTTATTGCTGGTATTTATATACTACTGTTGTTGCCTAAGTCTGCTGTTGAAAAGACCCCATAGTGTCATTGTATTGGCTCCCAATGACATGCGTTCATGCAGGCAAAGTTCATCTCCGTAAAATGAATGGCGACAGTCCTATTGGGCTTGATGTCGCCGCTCCACTCATTGTGCATTTAATCTGGGCCCATCGGCGTGTGAGTAATATGCCCTGGTGTACGGTCTGAACAGACCACTGAAGGGTCTTAATATAGAGGCTTTCCCTGAAGGCGCTACTTTGCTTGTCTGACGCCTGCAGGCTCACCAGCAAACCACTTGGATGTAATGAGTGGGATCAAGTCCATGCACAGGGTCCTCGTGTCTTCATAGGGGCTCACACACCGCCCTCATGTGGATGTAACACATGACTGCAGCCGTTTGAGTCATGCGCTTGAAAACCCTTGATTTTATTGACTGTGGGTTTTGAAATGGGACATTTGACCAAGAACCAATAAGGCATTGCATTAAGGAAAAGAACAATTCAACTAGAATTTAGCGAGAGAACATCTTAGAAAATGGTTTAAGATGCAGAGAACAGTTTGAGACAAACGACAGAATTAACATCCACTGACTAGAAAAGATTAAGCAAAATGAATTGAATATGGAAATAGCGGTTGTAGTAACCTGCTGATACGGCATGTCCTGCAGGGCTTCCTTGCTGGCGTCTCATTATCTCTCGCTTCGGGCAACACTGTTGCCACAAATCTCCCATCAGAGGAGCTCATTTTCTTGTGACAGCTCTACGCTTATATTGGGAAATGACGTGGAACTGGTGACACCTTTCAACTGCAAAGCGCTGTATGTTCTGTGTTACGGACCTGCCGGCTCCTCCTCCTCGTTTTGTCTATTTGCATCTCCCCTACAGGTGAGCGGAGCACAGGTGTGACGGGTTTCCTATGATTCCTTCCAGGAACACCTGGGATGGCTTTATGTATCCTGAGGGGTTTAAAAGCTGGAGAGACCTGGTGGAAGGAGGGCTGCCGCTTCTCCTTCTCTCCCGCACCGTTTTGCTGATTTTGTTTCCTTTTACATGACTTTTCACATACCCTGATTTGCATACGCTTTCAGTTCTCCTGACTAACACTTATACTGACTTTATTTACTTTACGTTGCTCATTCGTTGTCCTTAATAAACGGTATTTTCTTTCAATCAACTCATCCGCGTGGTCTTCCCTCTCTGTTGCATGGCCAGGCACAGGCAGAATGTAACAGAATTGGGGGCTCGTCCGGGATCGATCCAAAACGACGTCGGTAAATATATATAAAAAAAATATATATAATAATGTATGCGTTTGAATGTATTGAGACCGTTTCGTTTAGGTGCGTCTGATTCGGAAAGTGCTTTTGATCGTTCATTGATTCGAACGTGTTTTTTTGGGAAGACGCATGCGGATTAAGGGGAAAATCAATTGCGTTTGGAACAATTGGTTTATTTATTTATTTTGTTGGTGCGTGAGAGGAGGAGAACAATTAGGTAAATTTGTACCTTGGCCGTCGTTAAAGTAGGCCAGGTTGAAGTATTGGCGGTGAGCGATTGTTTGACAAGTGTAGGTCTGCACTGCGCGTCAAGATTGATTGATTTGATAAAGTATTCGATAAAATTATCAGAGCTTTACGAGTGCCCGTTAGTTGTAATGTTTGTTATTTTAGTTTGTTATTTTTGTGCTATCCTGGGCAGAGGGCACCGTCGTGGAAGCCTTCTTTAACGGCATTTTGTCGGGGATGTTAAGGCTCCGCTGATATTGTGTAATAAAAATCTCTGTCCTTGGGATATGCATGAAGAGGATCGCTATTTTTTCTTTCTTTTTACAGGGCAGCTCTGTTTTGTCTCGTCTGATGCGCAGTGTGGTAGCCACATTTGCATTGGGAAAAGGTGAGCTTGTTATCTTTATTTGCAAGAATTGAATGGGGTAAAAATCGTTTCATTTGTATGGCTAGTTTGGAGGATTTTTTTGTTACTCCATCCGTGGAGGTTTTGAATAATTTGACAAAGGATCAGTTGCGCCGGGTTTGTGACCATTATGGCCTTGACTTAGGTTTACCCAGAACAGCAAAATTAGCCCAGATTAGATTGTCCGTTCAGGCTGAATTGGTTGTTAAGAATATTTTGTCACCTGAATCTAAAATTATGGATGATTTGGGAGAAGCACTGTCGACACCTCATTCGACAGGGTGTTCTAAGGTGGCGCTCACGTTTGAGCAACAAAAGGTGTTGCTAGAAATGCAACGTCAAGAGAGAGAAGCTCAACGAGAGGCAGATCGACAGGAAAGAGAAGCTAAACGCGAGTTAGAGATGGAAAGAATAAAAAGTGAACGTGATGTGGCGTTGGAACGGCTAAGACTGAGTGCTGAATGTAGGCTTCCAGTTGATGGGGAGGAGGGTCCTGCTCCTAGGGAGTCTGTGCGTTCCCCTGATATATCTAGCATGGTTAGGTTGCTGCCAAAATTCAATGAAAGAGATCCAGATATTTTCTTTTCTTTATTTGAGAGTGTGGCTGATGACCGTGGCTGGACTGACTCTGAAAGAACGTTGCTAATCCAAAGTGTTCTTGTAGGTAGAGCGCAAGAAGCGTTTATTGCCTTGCCTGTACCAGATCGAAAAAAGTATGTCAAAGTAAAAGAGGCAGTGCTTAAAATTTATGAATTGGTTCCTGAGGCTTATCGTTTGCGGTTTCGCAGTTGGAGAAAGGGAGAAAAACAGACTTATACAGAGGTAGCGAGGGAATTGTACAGCCACTTTAATCGTTGGTGCTCCGCGGTGGGAGTCACTACTTTTGAAGAATTGTCTAACCTGATTGTTTTAGAACAGTTCAGAAACATCCTTCCGGAGCGCGTCGCTACACACATATTTGAGCAGAAGATGAAAACCGCAGCGGAAGCCGCAGTTGTGGCTGACGATTTTGCTTTGACACACAAGTATAGTTTAAAAGACACAGGTCAGATTTATCAGGAAAAACGTTTTGGACGTTTCAATAGAGCTTTGGGGTCTTCTTCGTTGGGTTCATTTGAGTCACCTACTCAGAGTAGAGTAGATTCACATTCCAATCAGTCACACAGAGGTGCTGTGAGTTTTCGCAGAGATTCTAGGTTTTCTGCGTTTACACCTGCCAGTCAGGCTAAGAATGATGCTGATGTGTGTCGATACTGTTTGGAAAAGGGGCACTGGAAGAGAGACTGTCCTGTGTTAAAGGGGAAAAGTCAGAGAAAGGGTACTGAGGTTGTTAGGGGGGTCACACTTGCTGTATCTGAGCCTGTTAGACCTGCTAAAGTTGTGATGGGTGAGACCGAGGTTAAATCTGAAGGCATTGTGACGCCATTTCAGCTATCAGGCCTTTGCTCTGTTGGGGCCAGTGAGAGAAACGGTGGACCTGACTCAGTTGTGCCTGGGGGAAGTGGTTATTTTCCTTTTGTTACGGATGGGTTAGTTTCACTGGTGGGTAGTTCCAACCAAGTGCCAGTTAAGATACTTAGGGACACAGGGGCGTCTGAGTCTTTTATCTTGGAGTCTGTATTGCCTTTTTCTGCAGACTCTAGTACTGGGAACAATGTTTTAGTCCGGGGGATTGGGTTGCAAGTTGTCTCTGTTCCATTGCACAGGATTAATCTGCAGTCGGATTTAGTGCAAGGGAAAGTATCAATAGCAGTTCGCCCTTCTTTACCAATAGAGGGCGTCCATCTTCTTTTAGGTAACAACCTGGCTGGAGAACGTGTCTGGCGTGATGTACTGCCCCCTGTAATTGTTAACAATGTTCCTTCTATTCCAGCCGACAGTGACGTTGGTGGTCAGAATTTGACTGTCTTTACAGCTTGTGCCGTGACACGGGCTATGAGTCGTGCCTCTAATGATGATGTTTCTCAGAGTAGAGAGTTTAAGTCTGTTGTTGTGCCTAATTTACCACCATCTCTCTCTCATAGTGATTTTGTTGCAGCTCAAAAGGAGGATGCAACATTGAAAGATCTGTTCGTTGGGGTGTTAACGGCTGTGGAGTTGCGAAATGCATCGCGAGGGTATTTTATTCAGGATGGGTTGTTGATCCGGAAGTGGTCCTCTCACACTGACGACGGGGTTGATGATCCAGTGTTTCAAGTGATCGTACCATGTAAGTTTAGAGACCTGATCCTACAGACAGCTCATGGGGATGTAGCGGGGCACTTGGGGGTTAGAAAAACCTATGACCGTCTTATGAAGTACTTCTATTGGCCTCGCATAAAGAAGGATGTGGCAACCTTCATTAAGACGTGTCATGTATGCCAGTTGACGGGGAAGCCAAATCAGGTGTTAAAGCCAGCTCCACTTTACCCTATTCCAGCTCTAGGGAAACCATTTGAAAATTTGTTAATTGATTGTGTAGGACCATTGCCTTCATCTAAGTCAGGGAGTGTTTACCTGCTGACGGTAATGTGTCAGTCTACCCGGTATCCCGCTGCCTATGCGTTGCGTACAATCACAACTAGGTCGGTGGTGAAAGCCCTTTCACAGTTTATTTCCATCTTTGGTATCCCTCACACTATACAGAGTGATAGAGGCTCTAACTTTACGTCACGCATATTCAGAGAGGTGCTCGAGCAGTTGCGTGTGAAACATCAGCGTAGTAGTGCCTATCACGCCCAGAGCCAAGGTGCTCTGGAGCGTTTTCATCAGACACTGAAGTCGCTTCTCAGGGGTTATTGTGTCGAGCTTAACAGAGACTGGGAAGAGGGACTCCCATGGTTGATGTTGGCGGCACGAGAGGTAACCCAGGAGAGCACGGGTTTCTCGCCTAATGATCTGGTCTTTGGACATAGAGTTCGGGGGCCTTTAGCGGTCTTACAGGGGGAGCTGAAATGTCCTGAGTCTCCTGTTAATTTGTTGGACTACGTAAATGGTTTTCGTCGTAGGTTGTTTTTGGCCTGTGAGATGGCGACAGACAAACTTACAAAAACCCAACAGAAAATGAAGAGTTGGTATGACCGTCGAGCTGAGCCAAGGGTGTTCAGTCCTGGGGATCAGGTATTAGCATTATTACCGATAGCAAATTCTCCGTTCCTTGCAAAATATTCAGGTCCTTATAAGATTGTTCGAAAAGTGTCAGACCTAAATTATTTACTTTCTACACCCAATCGTAGGCGTTCCACTCAACTCTGTCACATAAATCTGTTGAAGTCCTACTACAGCAGGTTTCCAGTCTCTGCGGCAGCAGAGTCTAGTGACCTGGTTATTCCAGTTTCTTTAGCCGCAGTTGTCGGGGCTCCTAGGGCCATTGAGACTCCCTACATGGGGGCAGAAAGTAGTGGTGAAGATGTGGTAGGACCTGATGACTGTGTGCTGAAACCTCGTCTGAGGAACTCTGAGAAACTGGCAGAGTTAAATACATTGTTTGGACATTTGCCAGGGGAGCGTGCATCAGAACTGTCGTCTTTGTTGTCTGATTTTCCTTCTCTATTTTCAGATACACCATCATGTACTCATTTAATTGAGCATGATATTGATGTTGGTGATGCAGAACCAATAAGACAGCGGTTCTATCGGGTGTCACAAGACAAACAGCGACACCTAGAGGCAGAGGTGAAGTACCTGTTGGAAAATGGTTTGGCTAAGCCTTCCTATTCAAGTTGGGCTTCACCCTGTATATTGGTCAGTAAACCTGATGGGACTAATAGATTCTGTACCGATTATCGTAAATTGAATAACATCACAAAATCAGATTCTTTTCCACTCCCAAGGGTTGAAGATTGTGTTGATCGGGTAGGATCAGCAAAGTTTGTGAGTAAATTTGACCTATTGAAAGGATATTACCAAGTCCCATTGTCATCTCGAGCTCAGGAAGTTTCAGCCTTTATAACACCATCTGGGTTATATTCCTATTCGGTTATGAGTTTCGGGTTACGAAATGCTCCAGCCACATTTCAACGACTTATGAACTGTGTTGTTTCTGGGTTGCAGGGATGCGCTGTGTACCTCGATGATGTGGTTGTGTATAGCGAGGAGTGGTCTGAACATCTGGAACGTATTCGGGCTCTTTTTTTTAGGCTTGTTGATGCTCGCCTCACTGTAAATCTAGCCAAGTGTGAGTTTGCCCAGGCTACAGTTGCATACTTGGGGAAGATCGTAGGGCAGGGGCAAGTGAAGCCGGTCCATGCTAAGGTGGTGGCTATTGATAAGTTTCCTGTCCCTACCAACAAAACAGAGTTGCGGCGGTTTTTGGGCATGGTAGGGTATTACCGCAGCTTTTGTTCAAACTTTTCTACAGTAGTAGCCCCTTTGACTAATCTGTTAAAAGATAAAGTGAAGTTTGAATGGACTGTGACCTCTCAAACTGCTTTTGATAATGTCAAGTTGTTGATGACTTCTGCCCCAGTTTTGATGGCACCCCGTTTTGATCAGCCTTTCCAGATGCAGGTTGACGCAAGCCATGTGGGGGCTGGTGCGGTGCTCCTGCAGAGTGATGAGCAGGGGGTGGATAGGCCAACATGTTACTTCTCAAGAAAGTTTAATTGTCATCAGTTGAATTATTCGACTATTGAGAAGGAAACATTGGCGTTAATCTGGGGTCTACAGCAGTTTGATGTGTATCTAGCTGGGGGCGCTGTTCCTATCACTGTCTACTCGGATCACAATCCACTGACATTCCTCCACACTTTAAAGAGTCCTAGTCAGCGCCTTATGCGTTGGGCTTTATTTTTGCAGCCATACAATTTGCACATACGGCACATTCGGGGCGTGGACAATGTCATGGCTGACGCTTTGTCCCGTGCTCCGGGTGGGCTGGAGTGAATGCTTTGCCTTGGCCTCTATCTCTCTCTCTTCCTGTTTCTCCACTCTTCTTCCGCTTAATCTCCTTAAATGTAGCTTTCCAGGTACCGGGATTTGCGGGAGCTCTTGGTATGCGGGAGGGTGATTGGAGCTGCTGGAGAGTAGAGTGGTTTTTGGCCTGTGGACAAAAGGGTTCCTGTGTCCAGTCCATGTGAATGGGCTGTCAACATACCGAAACGAAAGTTAAGTGCTCATTTTGAGTTTATAGAAATCATTTAAAAAAATTAAGAATGTTTTGCTTATTTTGTTGTGTGGGGTTTCGAACATTTTTTTTTGCAGAGGCCTTTAGGGGCCTCTGTCTTAAGGGAGGAGGTGTTACGGACCTGCCGGCTCCTCCTCCTCGTTTTGTCTATTTGCATCTCCCCTACAGGTGAGCGGAGCACAGGTGTGACGGGTTTCCTATGATTCCTTCCAGGAACACCTGGGATGGCTTTATGTATCCTGAGGGGTTTAAAAGCTGGAGAGACCTGGTGGAAGGAGGGCTGCCGCTTCTCCTTCTCTCCCGCACCGTTTTGCTGATTTTGTTTCCTTTTACATGACTTTTCACATACCCTGATTTGCATACGCTTTCAGTTCTCCTGACTAACACTTATACTGACTTTATTTACTTTACGTTGCTCATTCGTTGTCCTTAATAAACGGTATTTTCTTTCAATCAACTCATCCGCGTGGTCTTCCCTCTCTGTTGCATGGCCAGGCACAGGCAGAATGTAACATCTGTATACCAGCAGTAAGAAGAGTGGGGCAGTAGGGCTAGTTTCTCTAGACTCAGCACCGGACTGAACTGTTAAGGGATGGCCCTTTTTTGCAATCTCATGTGTGTTGAAATATAATCTCATGAGAATGGATGGGAAAACAAAGGGAGCCTTTTTATGTCTTGTTGGGGGAGCTCCAGCATCAGTTGGCTGTACTCTCAGGTTACACTGGAAAAACTAAAATAACGACACTGCGGTGGATTCATCAATATGGGAAGATGTGACAGTCACACACGCGGAACAATCGTTTGGCCGCTGCCACCCTCCCAGAAGAGAGGATCATTAGCGACTTCCATGACAAGTGTGCTCTCTCGTGGGGGTCCTCTTATTAAGCTGCAGAAAGAAAAATGACAGCTTTTGCAGCCACAGTGGAAAGGCCCAACAGTGTTTTTTATACAAGATGGAGAGGAGGGTGCGAAGGGACCAAGCGAGGGTTAAAAAAAAGGTCCAGTTCGTAAGTGGCCTTGTGACATATTCTTCATAAATGTTTGAGGAGAAAGAAATAACAATAATAATGGTGGATTCTTGCATGATGAAAAAAAAAAGGAAAAAGGGAGATGTTAATGCATCCGGCCCCCTGCAACTTCATCTAGAGGTGTGTGACAATCTGATTTCAAAAAAAGAAAATATTTGCAGTTGTTCATCTGGAGGAGGAGAAACCAGAGCGCCGTTTCAATAAAGCTTGCAATGTGAACAGATGGCTTTGACTAATGCACAGGCTCCAGACAGGATCCCCCTCGATGCCGCCTATTTCCTAAGTGAGACATTTGTGTGCAAATGTCCCGTTTGTCAGGTTGTCAACAGCAAGTCCTAAAATTAAAGTGGAAGTTCTGTGCATTTGTAAAAAAAATAGAGCAAACGGAAGAGCCCTCCGTTGGCGTTTCTCTGACCCACGTTGGGGTTTTGCTGACAAACTTCTCTGTCCTCCGTGGTGGAAAGCAATTAAATACATTTACTCAAATAATGTGCTTAAATTTACTCGTTCTTCACTTAAGTATTTTCATTTTTGTCAAATATTCCATCTTTTCTTGGCCAATTTTAAGTTACACTGTAGATAAATATAGAAAATCTAATCAGTAAATACGTCATGATGGATTCACGAGCTGTATCAGCCACAATATCAATGTGATCAACGCATTAATGCATCAATAATATAGTCCAATAAGATTAGTATTCTTCATGAGTACTTTTACCTCTGGTGCTTCATGTTTTGTGTTGGTTCTGCTCTGTGAAACATCTCACTGCCTCCCCAGTTACCACCACCGTGACTTCGAGATGCCGCTCCAGGAGTTACTCGTGTTTGACAAATAGAGAGATCTCTGCTTAGAGGAGCGTGACCTCTAAGGACATCACATCGGACAGGTCAGGAATCTCAGATCATCGGCTGTGGGATTTCAAGCAAAGTGACGTTCACGAGTGTATCAGCATCACACGCCGAGGCACCACGGGGAAGGAAGCGAGCGGATCGACAGAAGCCCTCAGCAATCAAACAGCTCTAAACAAACGGCCACTTTAATAAGTTCACTCGCAATACATTCAGTTAACACAAAGTGACACAACGGCAGCCTCCCCCACCTCCGACACGAGGTCTGTCACCCACCTCTAGGGGCTACGGACAACACAGTATATCAATAGAACCCACATATCACAGAACACATTGATTCATATAAAAACAGGTTAAAGATCCTCCCTAACGGACGGCCCAGCACGAACATGTAGTACACCAGTATTAACCATAAGTAACCGCAGCGATCAGAACGGCAGGAAGAGATAAACGTCCCGACAGCCCGATGCCGTACAAAAGATTGGCAGAAGCACTTGGCATGTAACGACCACAGAGACTCCGCGCGACACTGCGCCTCCGTGCAAAGGTCGCAAAGGTCACCGCTTCTCCAGGACGCTTCATTCACGTGGGCCGATGCTAAATACTCAATGCATGCTCATATCATAATGAGCATGAACCCAACAACTAGGACACAACATTCAACCAGCAGTTGGCTTGTTTCATAGTAGCCGCTGGTGCCTATGGTTACTTTAAATATATTCCGTTTGTATTAGTGGAGGTATATTGATGACCGGGATATGGAGATTCATTTAACATTAACACATTAGCTCTAAATAATACCTTGATGGTGCACGTTAACACAGCCAGATAGAGGTAGTGTCCCGCCCTAATTTTGCAAACGGATCTACAGGAGTTCATCGGGGTGCGAGGCGGACAGAGGAAACGCGGCGAGGTCCCTCAGGAGAGCACCGTCAGCACCACGGTGCCGCTGGTCTTCTTCTTCAGGATGTCCACGGCCTCGCCGTGAGTCGCGCCCTCCAGGCTGTGTCCGTTCACGCCGATGATCTGGTCCCCGCGCTTCAGCCTGCCGTCCTCCACGGCCGCCCCCTGCAGGGCACACGGACCAGTCCGTCACCGCGGCAACGGATCGGAGAGACACAGGAAATGCAATCCTGGTCATTTTCAATAAATGACAGTCTTAATGAATGCAGCTGGTTTCGCTGTGAGTTGCCTCGTTCTGCAGATTCTCTCCAATGTAACGGAACTTTATGGCGCTGAGGGGAAAGTCTCTTTCCAGAAATCTTTGCCCAGTTACCTCAAAGACCTTAATACTATCTTAATACCTTTAAAGATAATCAAAGTTCCTTGTGAGCAGCTTCATTTAGAAACTATTTTCTTTTAACGATAGTTGAGTGCGATATACTTTGTTTGGGAGAGAAGGCATATGACTCCAGAACCAGGCAACTCCCCTCAAAAGCACTGAGAGCTAATGAACATCCCTACAGCTAAGAGGAAAACACACGTCTCTCTGATTTTGGGGGTGAAGCCTGATGCTTTTATTATTGCGGATTCCAATTGTCTCCCACACGGACCCTCCTCCAGCAGACGGAGATTAGATCTCACCACCAGGAGCCCCCCGTGAAGGGCTTCCCCCACCGAGCACGCCCCCTCTCACCTTGCTGAAGATGGTTTTGATGTAGATGGGCAGGTCTCCGTGAGGGCTGCCGAACCCCCCCACGATGCTGAAGCCCAGGCCCGACGAGCCTCTCTCCAGAGCCACGGTCCGATACGTGCGAGCGCTGCGGCGAGAGAAAAGCCAAATATACTGAATGAGACAAATCCCAGAATCGCACAGAAAGTAACAAAGAAATTAGATTACATTTGGGTCACTAATGGGCTTCTTTTAAGCATTCTCTTGATTAAATGTCAGTTTACCGTTTCTGAAGTAGACCATTACTTTAAAATCGATTATCTGCTTTAATAAACTACTATAAAAAAGAAACAGAAGCTGTTTCATTTATGTGAAACTTCTCATGGGCTTGAACCTTTTTTTTAATGAATTTTTATATGACACTTGCTTTGGCCAGGACTCCTAGATAATAGAATTTAAATATTAATGAAGCACCCAGGAAAATGAATAACAAATAAATGAAACTGCAATAATGTCCTGTCATAGTGAGCAGTGCTTTAAGGCAACAGGGAGTCTGTACTACGATACGAGAGTACGTCAGCTCATTGTGGTCAATGTCCAGATAATCTCGTGTTAAAGCAGCGGGTAAAAGGTACGTCCTGCAATACATGTCCTGTTTAATGGTTTCACACCAGTATAGAGTCATTTTTCTACCAGAAATAAAAGCCACAAGAAGCGATGAACATGCGTTGGCGCCTCCACGCACACGGGGGGTCTGGCAGGACGGCGGATGACGCAGGTGTGCATTTCCGTGACCGTCGGACACAGCGGGCATCCCTTAGCAACACAGTGCTGCCGGCTGGTATTTCACATTCTGTACGAAGCAAAGTGTCGCTATAGAACGCGCAGTCGCTATGACGTGTGAACGGGCAAAAAATACAAAAGATTTGCATTTTGGCATCGTGAAAATTTGAGATTCTTCTCAGCAAAATTGAGATGGAGCAGCTGGATCCTCTAAGGACAAAAAGTTCTACGCTGTGGACGTGGCCAACGAGGTTTGAGGTGTAAACTGTTTCTCTTCATAGAAGCAGACAAACAAACAGCCACAGTATGAAACCAACGTACTGACTGGTGACAAATTAACTTTCCGTGCTCCATAAAGTCCTCAAACATTTGTCTGTCAAATGAAAACTAACTAATGCAAAAAGTGATGAACGCAGCGTAATAAAAAAGCCAACGTGCTCTTCAACATGACAGCAAGGATCCAATGATGCATGTGCATGCGTGTATGTGCAGCATGTGACCCTTCTTTTACTTTTTCAAGAAGGTCCTCAATATAGGAGTATGCGTATAGAGAAACGCTCTTAGTCTCAACAGAAACGTATTCTCTCTACCAGGGACCTTCGGGCCCTCGGTACTTTTATGCTCAGGCCCCAAATTGGTATTTTTTGATGAACATTGAAAACAAAGCAAAAGTCGAAACAGCCTGAGAAACATTCTGTCCCAGAACAAATTCTGTCTGGATGCTTCTCACACGGTGACCGCACATTTCGTAACGCGCCAAGGGCGCCGCGTTGTGCCGCGTTGTGCCGCGTTGTGCCATTGTCCTTTTCCCCGGGAATGAAGCAAAGCGAAAGCATAAGTGCGACAGCGGGGGGCTGTCGGGGGATCGATTCTCACCAGGGGTTGTTGTGAAAGCGTGGCAGGCCGCTGGGTTGTCCTGACAACGGCGCCTGCTCATCAATGTGGTCCTTTGTGCTGCGCCCACCAGAACCAGCTGCCACCTAGACACACACACACACACACACACAGTCTGAGCCGCTCACTATCTGATAGTCTGTCCTAATTATAACTATTAATTATCTTTTTTTTCTTTTGACACAGAACTCCTCACCAATATTTATTCTCTCTTCCAACAAAAGCTCATTAACTTGATGACAAAATCACAGACAGTTTCCTGCTCACATGCGACACACTGATAACGACTGGAAACACTTTTGTTCCTGTTACCATGTAATTATCTCCATAAAAAGGAATACTGACTTGGAGGGAGCACGGTACGGTTCACTGAGAGAAAAACCCGCTGACATAATGGCAAAGTGGTGCCTCACACGGGTTTTCTCTGTAGATTTACCGCGCTGCGCCCCGGCGGGACATTACCTGCAGACGGATGGTTCGGGCTGCAGCCTGGACGCGAGTCATTCCCTCCGTGGACACATCGTTGGTACTGAGGATCCTGTCCCCAGCCTGACACACACACACACACACACACTTGTGCTTCTAGTAGTTGCACGTGGATATTGCTGCAGATAACAGTAATCTGTCTTTTTATGATTCATAAAGCCCTCTCTTCTTCTCTAGGGGGGTTCTTTGAATGTTTGTGTTTAATGCATTTCACATTTCTGTATTACACATGTGTGTTTGGTCGGTATGTTTAAGATGCAGCTACATACTGTAAAAGCTACAGTGTGCAACACTTTATTGTGATAAAGACACAACTAGTCAACCAATCTGCATCTGTAAATAAGATAATAGTTATGCCAGATATGCCGTCACAGTCGCGATTCCAATCTTTACCCTGAAATCAAGTTGTTGCACTTGAATGAATCGTTCCCTCAACACTGAGGACAGATTTTTTGTCCATAACGGCACACAAACGTCACCACTCCCCACCTGTACTTGATACGTCGTGGCAGCCAGTCCATCGGTATCCATGGTAGCAATAAAAAGAGGCACGTTGTCATGGGGACTGCCCGCTCCTCCTGCTACACTGATGCCCAGGGAGTCACATGGACCCTGTGGTGATACCACACAAACACACACAGACACACACAGGGACAGTAGACCCCGTTGGACAATATCGGTGAATCACATGTCTGCACATGAAATATATACATATGTTTACATACGTATATATACTAACAACCAAATACAGACTTTTGGAAAAAATATACTAAGAAAACAACCTCTATTCATTATTATAGTGCCTTACCTTTTGCATTGTGACGTGTTTGGCGTCAGAAGACTCTTGAAACGCTGGAGGAGGAGGAGTATGTTTGCGTGAAGAGCAGCATTATTTTCACATAAATACACTGTATGCATGCAGGCTTTGCTTTGAGGGCCGCAGGGAGACTCACAGTAGCCCCCCGTCCTGGTATCTGTCTCCCTCTGGTGGCCGGGCGAAGCGTCACAGCCGCTGGAGTGGGTCAGCGTGGAGCAGTCGGAGTCCTCGCTCTGGATAAAACACAACTTAAAGTACTCCTAGGTTCACAAAGTGCCACCGTTAAAATAGAACAAATGTTGATAACATTGAGTTTACTGAGCTGCACAAATCATTAGGTAATAAAAAGAGTTTCATTGACGTCGTGGATGAGACACCGGCAGCTTACCTGGCTGTGCTGCGAGTACTGCAGCCCCGCTTTAAAACGAGCCACCTCCAGGTGGACCGCTCCTCTGCATCCCTGAGAGCAGAGTGACTGGTGATGTGATGCAGAACAAATAAGAATCCCCCCCGACACACTCCGTGTTTCGTGTGAGCCCTCTGACCTGTAGCAGATCCTGCACGTGTCCCTGCGATGCCGCGCGGACATCGTCCCCGTTGATTGACAGAATCTGGTCGCCCGGCAGCAACCTGCCATCCGAATCTGCTACGCCTCCTCTGATGAGATCTGACACAAAGATGCCCGTGTCATTACTGTGGAAAGAAAACTGAGGTCAAAAACTGTGACTGTTCCACGGCCGGCAACCAAATTAAGTGACATTTGCTCCTGCGCTTTGGCATAACGTCACACTTGATTGTGCAAATGATGTGTCCGTCATCTTGTTCTCCCTAACAGTAATGAAGTCGGTGACACAGTCTGTGACCTCTAAGTGGGTGAAGGCTTCGGAGAACAAGACACTCGACACGACTCTAAAGTTTGGTTAACAATGACTTTTCTCGACAACATGAGTCAATTAACTAAAGAGTAAACATTTAAAAAAAAAAACGTACCAATGTAAATAATACCACAAAATTAAAATGAATTAATTTCACATTTTTCCCCTATTGAAAGCTTTTTTTTTCAGGAGTCATCCAAAATGAGGATCGAAATGGACGGTGAGTTGTCGTATGTGATACCAGTCTGCATAAATAAAATGGGAATGGTGACCCTGATTGGTGAGATGAGCTTGTTAATGAAGCTTTATCAGTAGCTGTACATGAACAAATAAGACGTGTTCTTTAATTGAAACCCCTGCTGCTTAACTAAAGGATCAACTGGCTCAACCTGTCAACAATGAGGTCACCGTCCCGTTGATGAGACCTTCGTTGACGGTCAATTTTGGTCCCTATGGGAAGATACAAAATCATGTGACGTTTTTTTTTTGTCATTTGTCGAAGGAACATTGTGAAAATACCTCTTGCCCACAGTGGCGAAGCCCAGCCCCTCTCCGGGACGAGGCCTCAGCTCCAGGCTGAAGACGTCCCACAGGTCCTCCTCCCTGTAGGCCTCCTGGTGCCTGAAGACGCGCAGGCGGACGCGCCGGGTGGTGAGCCGCAGCACGCCGATGGCCTCGTCGTGGGTGGCCTGCCGCAGGTCTATGCCGTTCACCTGGGAGGAGGCGAGGGAGACGCACGCCGTGGTTGAAACGGCTTTAACGTGCCGCAGCCAGCAGATGGATCTCAGGGCGTTATGGAGTGCGTTATTGGACTTTGCACTTTATGGTCTAATTCTCCCTAAATGGACCATCATTCCCTACATGAAGACCATGCTGTATTAAAGACGTGATACTAGAGATTGAGTGTTACACTCTTTACTGGGAGAATAACTCAGACGTCATTTTCTAGTAGACTTCTACAGAACAAGAGGAGTCGCCCCCTGCTGGCCATCACTGCAGGATTTCTGTCTTGTGCAAGGGCGTAACCACGTATCCTTTGAGGGGGTCGTGTCCCCCCCAATATACAGCAGAAAATATGTTAAATATATGTTTCCTTCCTTTTATGAGCCATTTGTTAAGCGAAACACACCGGAGCCGTGCCACCCCGTCGGCCAATGTTAACTAAAATGACATGTAATGTGTTCTTAAAAATAAATCAATTTTGTTCAGCAATTAGAGGTACGTGACGTTTACTGGACACCAGTGAAATAAACATACATAAATCTGACCACTAAAATGCGTTTTGTTGTGATGCATTATGTCTCATGATATATATTACATTACATCACATGTCATTTAGCTGACGCTTTTATCCAAAGCGACGTACAATAAGTGCATTCAACCATAGGGTACAATATATGATGCACAGAGCACAGAGCAGATTTAGATAATTACCTCTAATATGTGGTCCCCAGCCTGCAGCCTCCCGTCTCTCTGTGCTGCTCCTCCATCGTTTACCTCGTGGACTATTACTGCCCCCTATTGGGGCAAAACAACAACAACAAAAGACTTCACTATCACTAATCCCATCCAATTTTATTGAACCAGAGTTGAACTATTTTCGCCTCAATGTTTAGGATCATCTACTTTTTATGACGTTCTGATTTAAATTGTCTGTCCTCACCAGCAGAGAGTCACATCCTCCGACGATGCTGAGGCCCAGGCCCACGTTTCCTTTGCAAAACTCGATTGTGGATTCCCCTCCTTCCACAACTGGGCCAACGAGGGGGTCTGACATTACGGGGGCCGATCGCAGACAATCAGAGCGCCCGGCGGGAGGGGTCTGCGAGGCGGTGAGCGACGGCGGAGGGGAGGGGACGGGGAGGGAGGTGGGAGTGAGAGAGCTGGGACGAGAAAGGGGCAAAGAGGAGGAGGAGGAGGGACTGTTGGAGCAGCTGACGGAGACGTCGACCCGCTGTTCCGCAATCAAACTGGACACCTGGATACAGAGAAGACAGGTGAGTCATACATCGTTAAATCAGCTTGACACTGTGTGTGTGTGTGGGGGGGGCTGTACCGTGGCCCCTGGCAGGCCGGCCACAGGTTGATCACGCACGGCTATGATTGTGTCTCCGGCCTCGATGCTTCCAGCCTGCACAAGGACACAAACCAGGAAAAGGAAAAGAAAAGCTCAGCTGATTGAATCAAATAAATAAGGTTCTGTTGGACAGTTACACTATTTATTGTCATTTTCAAATTGAACTGGATGAATAAAACATAATTAAATTATGGATGAAATGATGGATCATTTTTGGGAAATAAGGAAAGCATTTAAAATGAAATTACATGACACAAAGCTTTATGGGTCGTCTTAAAATAAAGCACTTCATTTAGTAAGAATGCATTGACCGGACTCCTCTTTGTGCTCAGGCTTTATATTCAGGTGTAAAATCAAACCTTCTGCCCCATAAAAACATATTTTAAAAAGAGACATTTGTGTTCAGGGACTATCAGTGGTTATTGAAACATTATGTGTTATGGTTCTGATCAAGTTTATGTTTCCTCGGGACGTTCCTGCTTTTAACAATGGCCACGACCACATGTGATGCGCTGGTTTTAAACCTGACGACGGGAAGAACTCATGCTTTGGATTCTTAGTTGGATCGGGTTGAGTTGTCCACATGCATCTTTACAGACTCGCTCTCTTTCTGTCTCTCTACAGTTCACTGAACTCACGGCGCCTACTGGGAAACCACATCTTTGATTGGCCGAGTAGCGTCGCGTGATGCTATTGGTCGCTGTGTTTCCCGAACCGCTGAAGGCGGATAAAATGTCCACATTTTACTGTCTCATCTTTAGGCGAGATGCTTTAGGGTTAGAGGGTCTAGTTCCTGGACTGGCTTAAACAGGTCGAGATACAATCATAGTATGTAGAATACATGAGGGAAAAGGTTGTGATGTCACACCTTACTGGCAGTGCCGGGCTGGATCAGGGACCGGACCACCGGCCCGTCCTTGGCCTCCCTCTCCGGCAGGCAGAGACCTATGTGATCCTGGAGGGAGGGTGAAACCAAATAAGTATATAAAAAGAAATAACCCCCCCACACACACACAATTAGAACAAAATAGTCATTGCAGTTTCCTGAAGGCGTTGCACCTGGGGGGCGGCGGCGGCGTGCTGGACGCCTGTGGCTGATCCCCCGCGCTCTCCTGCCTCCGTCTGGGAGTCGTCTGTCTCAGCTGCTTTTTCCCTGTCGAAGCCACAACAAGAAATAGTTAAAGTTTTCTGCAGCGATGGAAGCGCCACCCTCGGACCCCCAGAACTTCACCTGATGAGGACGATCTTGACTTTAGACGGAGCGTTGCTGATGATGTCCGAGGCGTTCTGGTGACTCCGGCCGTACAAGATCTGACCGTTGATCTGGAAGAAGAATCACACGTTGGGCCGTCTCCTCTCCTCCTTTACCCCCCCGATGTCCTTCACCATCTCTATTACGAGGGCGTGCGTGGCGAGAATCCTGCACCCAGCGACCCTTTGCATAATCGGTAAATCGGCGGCGTGGGCACTCGGCGCTCTCTCCGCCCACAAGCCACTGCTCTCTTTCAGCCGCTCTGGACTATCATTCCATCCCTTTAGCCCCCCCTCGACCCCTCCCCTCCCCTCCCACACACTTCTGTCTCCCTCCCACCTCCAGCAGCTCGTCCCCGACCCGTATCCTCCCGTCCAGACCGGCGGGCCCCCGGGGGTCTATGTCGGCCACGTGGACGCTCATGCGGGCTCTGGAGCCGCCCTCGTTGTACGAGAGGCCGATGCCCAGGCCGCGGGCCGCCGGCTCCTTCTGCAGCTCCATCATGTGCAGCTGACCGGACAGGCCGCCGTACCGCTGCACCATCTTCTCTGAGGACGGAGAGAAAACAACGATAATGACGTTTTCTGTGACACCAGATTAAAAAAAGGCTTTTGGGCACTTTGGATTTACATTTCCTGGATGAGCACGTCTCACACCCCTTCACTGAGATTCAACGTACCAACCAAGGCAGCGGAGAGCAGGCGCAGGTCAAACCTTTCTCTTCTGAATATGCTTTGAGAATGTTTTCTGGGAACCTTAAGGACAGGCGCAGCGCTCCGTGATGCGGTTCGTTTGTGGGTTAGGGTGTCGGGGTGTCGGGGGTGTCGGGGGTGTGAGGGACTCTGAGAAAGAAGAAGCGCCCGGCTGCAACATCCGTCGCTCGCTGCACCACCGGATGAAAAAACGCTTTCAAAAGGACGGACCTCCACAACGTGTTGATCCCCTGATAGTTTTACAGCGGGTTGTAATTGCGTAAGTGTGTTGTGTCTCCTGGGACCGGAGTGCACGAGGCGTGCGAGTGCCGTCTCTATGCGGCAGACTTACCCCTGTCGGCATCGCTCCCAGCCGGCGGCGCGGCGGTCGCGAGGCTCCTCCTCCTCCTCCCCGGACGGTCGCATATCGGCGAAGGCACCTTGAGGGAAGCTTTGCATTATTGAACAAGGCAGAGTTGGAGATGCCTCGAGGGGTCCCTCCGGGCAAGAGTTGGACTCCCCCTCCCCAGCTCCCCCCCCCGAGGCTCGTACAGTGTTGCTTTGGTGAAAAAATAATAAGAAAAAAAAAAGAAACTGCCGGAACAGGATGAATTAATGAACACATTTTTTTGAATGTTGGCTAAAAATAACATGAAAGATGACCAGATTCTTGCATTATTTCGTAACTGGTTTACGAGCGCATGGGAACAGAACTTCAAAAGGACGTGCCGTCTATTTGGAGACTTTCCACCAAAGGATGAAAACAAAAGGGTTTAAACAAACAAGGTAGCTGCGACTTTGAACTCACGAGTTCTATCTTCAAGTATGCACGTTAATTATGGTTTTTTGGGAAGTTGGCTCTAATAGAAAGGCTGCTTTTAAGAGGCCGCATGCACATGATAACACACACACACAGCATACCAACCTTAAAGGGGGTGGGGGTGTAGGGGTTTGTAGGGGAGAGGGTGAGGAACAGACTCGGCGTCTCTGCTTCCTACGATCAGGAGGGGAAACAGATCTAGTTCCACACGCATCACCCCCAAAACCGCCGTCGAGCTCTCTAGAAAAACCGCATCCGTCTTGGAATACCACGTAGGAGTTACTGACTCATCGTTTATGCAGACATACGACAAATGGAGGGGAAAGGATTTCACAGCTCGTCGTGTGTCCCAAAGAAATCTAAAGTCACGACACGTGGCTTTTTTTAATCGACATTGAATGAAGATCAGAGCGTTACCTTGCCGCCGTGCGAGTTGGACTGCGGCGCTGCAGTCGCTCTCTCGCGGTTGAGCAGCGGAGACTGTGGGCGAAGAAACAAACTACAGGTGAGGGAAGGTGAACGTCTGCACGGCAGATGCTTCCAGCGTGTGCGCCGTCTCCTGCACGTGTTTGCAGTCAGAGCGCGCGCTTTGCGTCCGGACGACTTGGTTCTATAGTGAGTAAATATCGATCTTTGTTCTGACGCAGTACCTGAGATCTGTGTTGTCCCGACTGGACCAAGAAGGACACGCAGTCTCCGGCCCTGCGGATGGCCTCCACCGCCTGCTCATGGCTGGCGTCCCTCAGGTCCACGCCGCACACCTGGGACAAGCAACCCCCCCCCCACACACACACAGAGCACAGGGTGAACAAAAGGACATGAGAAGTAAAGGAGTCGCCGTGATGGTAATCCTGTGGACCCTGTGTCTTTTTAACCTTTATTATATTTTCTTGAGGGAGGAGAAGGATCTTTAGAAGGTGATTAAAGAAGCAGCTCAATCTGTTCTGGGCATAAATTTGGCAAAGAAAATGAATGAACAAATTAAAATCCATTATGAAAATGTTAAAGGCCATTTTGATGGGAGAATATGATGGCCGATTTACCATCTGCTACAGCGATTTGGTGATGAATAGAATTGTATTTCAATAGGAATTGATTAAAAAATCCCTCCAAAATACCACATCAAATCGCTGAGACCTTGATCAACGCCATAGAAAAGTTGCGATGGGATTTGGTATCAAAAGCTTTCTTCGTGATTAGCATTTTACCGGCCATTGGATGGCGAGTGCTTGGGCTGGTTTTTACTGCTTTTTTACTACTGAGACATTGGGCTCACTATATTTGATTCAGTTCATTATTATTAATAAACACAGAAGAACTAACATTCTGTGAAGGCCCCGGGTCTCTAGTGGTTGTAAAGTGTCATGAGGCTGTGATCATCATAGAGGTCACGCAGGTCATTTCACGCAGTGAAGAATAATGGTCTTACTACAGAGGAACTATTGATCACACAGCAAAACAAATGGGTTGCAGAAATGTTCCAAAACACTATTTTTAGAATAGGCAGAAATACGGCACGACGAGGTCAGAGGTCAGAGACACAACATTGGCTTTGGTGGTCTCAGATGGTTATTTATCTACAACATGGTCGGTATTGACCGAACACAACCACAGATATGACAGAGACACCTTCCATAACGACATGGAAAGTTATCTGTTGTCTAACTAAATGTTTCTTTTGCAGTTCCGTAGCAACAACGTGATTCTCTTTACCAGCTCGTCTATTGGCCGTATGACCCCTGTGTGACACGGAGGGGCCTGATTGCATTTTGCAACATACTGTACAATTTTCCAGTCTCTCCAACACACACACACACACACACACACACGCACACACACACACACACACACACACACACACGCGCGCACAAACCTCCAGTATCCTGTCTCCGGTCCGCAGGGTGCCATTACGCGCTGCCGGGCTGTCGGCACTGATGTGCTTGACGAAGACTCCCCTCATCATGTCCCCGGTGCTCAGTCTCCGGCCCATTCCTCTGCCTCCCATTATGCTGAGGCCCAGCGACTGGCCCGCCGCCCGAGTCAGCCGCACGCTGCAACACAAACACAAAGTCCAACGCCCATCCGACAGGAGAGGGACGGCTCGGTGATGGACGCGTGTCCTCGTGTGTGTCTGATGAGGACCTACTTGGTTTGAAACATTTCTGCAGAAATGCACAAGGAAGAGGATTAATCCAGCGCGTGTGCTTTTTATTTAATACTCCTCCGATTCGCTGCTCAGGGCAACGGAGGGACTTCTAGAGATTGGGTCAAAACAATGGAAGGTTCTACCTGCCGGGGAGAGGCGCACGCAGCGCGGCTTTAGGGAGTTATGGGACGTAAAACGTGATAAATAGGGTTTGTGAGAGTAGTCGGTTCCTTTGGGCCGTAAGAAATGTGAGCGTGTTGAGGTGTGGAACAGAACCCGAGCACGCTGGGATTCTGCTAAGCCTCCTCCACCAGAGAGGATGAGAGGGAAGAGAAAAGGCAGGAGGTGGAAGAATAAGCTGAATCTAGTGGTGCTTGTTGCTGATTCACTGACCTTCTGGGTCGATCCTCAGTAACTGCAGCGAGAGAGTGAAGCTCCTGCTTTCCATCCACCTCCACCTGCGGCTGCCGTGCCGTCTCCTCCTCTTTCTCCTCCACAATCTTTCTATTTGCCTCCTCCTCCTTCTTCTTAGGAGGGTAAGATCTCGAAGTCTGCCAACTGACGGCAGAAGAAAACAACATAAATTATTTCATTAATTGACAAGTCTATTGAGGGAAAGTGCACATTTTGATTAATAGCAGCATAGTAGAGCAACTATCATCCATCCTCTCAGACCAGAGGATTTGCTCCTTTTCTCTGTTTCCTATCAATATAAATCAAATGTCTGTAGATTTTGGACTGGATATTGTGATCAAAATTGTGACAATTAATAAAAAATAAAAAAAATTGTTTTGTTTGTTTGTTCGTCCTTGGTGAAAATAATCGTAAACCGAAGCCCCTCGCGTTTAAAAAGCCTTTTCACATTATCAGAGCCGGGATTAAGTAACAAGGAATCTTGGAGCACTTATTATTTTATAAGACGCCATCGATTAATAAGATGCTTGTGAACTTTTCAATACGTTTTAATCGGTTTGAAAAAGATTGAAGAAGAAATATACATGAATCTCCATGAGAATATTACGTGGTTTCATTAAACTGAATGACAAACGGAGACATTTGAGGACATCATCCGGGGGTTTGGGAAACAGATCTTTCTCCATTTCATTGCCAATGAAATGAATGGTTATCTGCAGCGCTGTGTTACAGCACTGTAACACAAGGCCAATAGTGATTTACAGTCTACCCGTAGCCTCCAGATGATCCACTATAGCTGCAAATAGACCTGAAAACACACGCTCTGCCAGGGAGGTCACAGGTAGTGTCTGTGTGTGTCTATAGAAATAAATAAATGCGTGTGACTCTTTCTATACACACACACTGTATATATGCGAGCGTGGGTGTGTGTGAAGGAGCGCTTTTCATGAATATATTTAACGGTGGCGGGCTGTAATAAGCCCACGGAGGTGAGTGATAGTGGTGCTGTCTGCGCAGCGGGAGCCTATAGACATCCAAGTTACAGGGGAGAGCAGAACAATTGGTTCCAGCAGCGCTGAGAAAGAGCGCGGACCAGGACGGGGGGGTAACAAGGCAGGAGAGGAGAGGGAAAATGAGGCGGAGGGAAAAAAAGACCAGAGAAGAGAGACGGATGCGGGCACAAAAAGTGGAGGCAGCGAGAGAGACAAAGGCGCCGTGTAGCGAGATAAGGGGGCGGGAGAAGAAAAAGGAGGGAGGCCGAGGCAAGAAGACGGAGAGAAAGCAGCAACAGACAGAAGCCAAACAATTCATTTTCGCTGACACTCCGCACTGAGATTCATGAGTGAACGGCTAAATATAACTCAGAGATTCGACATCCGGAGGAGGATTTCGCCTTCGCCACAGAGGGGAATGGAGACGGGAGAAACAGGAGACTGGGAGAGGCTCACGCGGACACACGTTGTTCCCTCCATGGATACGGCTAATTAACACGTCGGGTAATAACTTAGGTCATTAGTGTGAATTAGGCTGCAGGGTAGTGGTAATGTCTGAAAGGAACCCTCGCTGCGACGGAAATCAGACCCACAACAGGCCCAACGCATAGAATGTTTTAACCCTCTGAAACAAAGCGGAGCCCCGAGGCACTCCGAGGCCCTGAGTACAGACCACAGCCGTCTGAGGCCTCTGGATCCTTACTCACCTCGAGGCGGGGGCCGGCCCCGTGGTGGGGGCGGAGGCGGGGCCTTTGAATGGCGCTTTGGACGAAGCGGCGGCTCGGACTGCTGCAGGATCCGCGACGGCGGTTTTGAATTTGACCGAGCCGGCGGCTTTGAGGGCGGGCGGAGCGGCGGGCGGAGCGGCGGGTGGAGCGGCGGGCGGAGCGGCGGCTCTGAGCAGGCGGGGGGATCTGGCCGAGGCAAGCTCCGGGGAAGGGGTCGGCGGGGTCGGCGAGGAAGGGGCGCTGTCTGCTTCGATGGATTCCAGCGGGGGTAAACGCAGACGGGTACGGTACTGGTCCACCTGATGGGCCGGCACATGGGTTATGCTGGGGGGGCGTGGGAGAAGAAGTGGGGGGTGGGGTGAGACATTCAAATTATTAGTATGGCTAACTGTTTTCACATTTGCTTAACTTTGAGGCACCAAACAATGGCAAACGCCTTTTTATAGAAGGCAGATGTTACTACTGACATCGGTGACATTAGCGGCGTGCGTCTGTCCGCGGCCCACATGGCATCGGGCAGCAAACAGCGTAATATTTGGGCTGGCCTGTTATTGCTGCATGCTGAAGGGTCACCAATGGTTGCGGGGACTTACTTTTATTGCCGGTTTTATACTGCCATTGACATCCATCTTAAGTAATTAACATAAAGTAAATGTGGTCAGAGCTCACCTCCATCTGGATTCCAGATTCACAAATAGACACTAACTATAACAACTATACATGACTTAAGAGAAGGGAGCGCTGGAAGCGCCTGAAGCTGTGGATAAAATGAAGCAACCTAATTCTAATCAGAATTAGTGATTAATTAGCAATTATTAACACTATTTATATTGCAGACCTGACCGATGCCCACTGGCTTCAGGGCTTACTTTCTTATGTCAAATGTTATACAACAAAATGTTCCATTTTAATTGGTTGTGCTGGAGGTGGCACAAAGTATATATTTCTATTGAGCGTTTACTGTCACACCTGTAGGTCAAGTTGGGCTTCTGTCCCGTCTCAATGGTTGTTTTGTGACTTCCTGTTTCATTTTGATAATTAACCCTCCTCTCGTTTCAGGTTCCTGGCTCTTCCTCATGTGTCACCAGTCTGATTGTCTTCCCTGATTCCTGATCGTGTCCACCTGTTCCCACACTTCATGTGTCCTTATAGTCTGCGTCTCCCCCACTGTGTGTCACGTCCGCCCCGGGAAGGAGTCAAGCCCAGGTCGCACTTTATGCTCCTGTTCTACAGCTCCTCACGTTTGTTAAAGTGCCTTCAATAGATTCACTTTTGATATTTCCTCAATAAGCGAGAGTTTGGCTTCTTCTTTTTGTTCTTAATCCGCTCGCTCAGTTTTTCTGGAGCATTTTCCATTTTTCTCTCTCTCACGTTTCCAGGGTCGTCCCTGCGTTTTTTGTTGGACAATAAAACCCTTTACTGAACCTTATCTCTGCGTCCGAGTCCTCACCTCGAGACCTCCCTGACAGATTACTAAGAAATTCTGACTCATTACAGTCCCAAACACAACTTTTATTAAAAAACAACAACCATGCTTTGCATGAAGCCAGATCCATGCAAGCTACGGTGAAACAACATAATTCAAGTGAGGTGTCGAGGACACCCTTACAGCCCCACACCCCTCCCCCGTCCTCCATTGTTGTGTGACGCTACCATGCTGTTTGAGCTGAAAGCGCCAATTCCTGTCACGGTGGCAGATTGAATATGGAGGTCTTCCGCGCTAAGCTGTTGTGACTGAGCCATGTGGACAGCCTGTCGCGTCTCAACAGACGCAGTTTGATAGTGACAAGCCCTCGCCCGTCTCTGTCGGCCTCATTCTGAGGCTGCCAAAGCAGCTCATCTGCCTCCACGCCGCTAGTTTGTCTGCAGTGCTTGTCAGGGCGAGGGAGGCAGCGAGAGAGAGTGTGCGTGAGGCTGAAAGAGGGAGACGCTGTGTGGTTGTGTGTGTTTTGTGGTGCGCATCTATGAGGGTCTCTTTAAAGCGCTCTTTTATTCAGAAGCACACTGTTCAAGGTGAGATGAGGGATGAATTATTCAGAGATGTTTCCCATAGCAGGAAAAAGGTGTTTCTGGAGGTTAGACCATTGAACGGCGGTGTGTGCGTGTGCATAAGTGTGTGCGTGTGCCTGTAAAAGAGGGAGAGAGGATGAGAGACACGGGGGGGAGGGTCTCCAATGAGCCAAACAAGCATTGTCTATGTGCAGCAGTAACTGCTGATGTTATAGAGCAAATTAAAATGTACCCATGTGCCCCTCGGGCAACATTTAAAATTTCATCATCGCATCTAATTTAACACGACTGCAGCATCTTAGTCAACTACGAGCGCAGTGGCAGAAAAACAAGGCGCTTGATGGAAATCCAGAAGTGGCCCAACATCGTTTATCCGCGCTGATGTGGCGACACTGGCTGAGCGGAGCACATATTGATATTTATGATGCACCATATACTCACAGACAATATGAGCAATGTTCAATGGCAGTTGTTTTCTCTAGTGGATCATTGCTCTCTGCGTTCCCAAAGGACTTTTCCACAGTGTTTCAGAACGAAGAGCTTGTTTTTCCAATCAAGGAGGTGCTTAAAAACTGGCATTTGGGAACGTGCACGTGAAAGTAATATGAAAAACTGACCAGAATCTTTTTTTTTTTTTTAAGTGCCCAAAAGTGTCCTATACTTTGATGCTGTTGCTGAAATGTTGATTTGGGCCGTTTTAGCCTAAAAACAAGCAAAAACGGAAGAATTTAAAATAACCAAGGGAGTTAACAATAGATTTCATACTGTGGAATCAAGACAGAAAGATTATTCAAACATACATAACTTATTTTTATTCAAATGTCCACCAAGCAGTTATGTTGCAGTTTTACATCCCCATTTGTCCAGAACCTTAATGGTTTTATGCAATGAAGACTTTCATTCCATCCCGTAGTGTCACTGCTGTCAGTGAGCGGCTCCTCACCTGATCTCGGGCCCCACGACCGAGTGCCTGCGGAGCGCCGCTCTGGCCCCGGCGTTGTTCAGGTTGGTGGTTGGCTCTCCGTTGATGGCCAAGATGGCGTCCCCCACCCCCAGTCTGCCATCCTGGCTGACAGAGCCCCCCTGGACCACGCTGCGCACCAGCATGCCTGAGCCGTCCTTGATAGCGCTCACCGACATGCCTGCCAACACACGGGCGCACACACACAGGAACACACACACACACACACACAGGAACACACACACACACAGGAACACACACACACACACACACACGGGCACAGGTGATTGTAGGTTCTGGCTACGCTGCTCTGACTACGTGCCAAACCGACAAGACAGTCGCCCAAACAACACAACGGACAGCGGGCATAACCAGAATAATAAAGACCGGCACGGAGACGGATTAGCACGCAAACATGGGCGCGCGTGTTTGACATTTACGGAATCATCCGTCACAGAGGTCCACATTCGCCGACACCCACGGAGGCGGCAGGTGACTGCAGGGGAAGCACATGCCAGTAGCACAAACACCTGACTTTGGCTTGATCCAATCAGACGCTAGGCGGATTACACAAACACAGCAGACAAACACACACACAGGAACACACACACAGGAACACGCACACGCTGCTGGCAGGGAGCGCTACGACTGTCGAATTAGGTAACCCAGTCTGCGCCGCCTGCATTCCTACTTCGCTATTGGGGGACTACACGACTCCACCACACTATGGTCGTACAGAATTTGAAGTTGGTCAAAGAAATGACTTTGAGCATGTCTTTTTTTGATCAAATAAATCGTTTATTGATTGTTTTCGTTTCTTTTGGTATTACATTCAAATTACAATACAATCATAGTGCCTGGAATACACGGATGAGGACGCTGACAAGACAAACAGAAGACACACATTTGATGAGAGGAAGACTGAGGAGAGATAATTCCTACTAATATTTACTTTAACACAGCATCAAAAATACAGTTTTCATTTTTTATGATTACAAACAACTGAATAAACTCCTAACAATAATTCTCACATGAAAATCCATTGATCTAAATCTATGATTTGACCTCAACAAAACGTATCTGTGGTACCACAAACGTACAGTACGTGGAAACGCGTCATGCCATTCAAGAACAAACAGGCAATTCTAAACAGGCTGTTTTGAGACGAGCAAGGCAAGAAAGAAAAAGACCTCATTATGGTCCGTTAAAGCTTCTCCGTTAACAACCTGCTCCACAAAGCCGAACAGTCCTTGTAGTACAAACCAACCACACACTGCACAGCATATCCAAATATGGGCATTTACTCATAGGTGCACATTGGATAGAATTGTACTACAAATAGTACTACAACAGTATAGCTCATTCTGGCCTGAACAGAACATCTGTAAACCCTCCACATACCTCAGCAAACAGACCTACAATATTTTAAACAGACAACCAAACAATGCACTGACACACAAATGACAAATACATATCTCAAACTTCCACACAAACACACACATACACAAAGTAGTGTGTTGAGTTTTATTCCATGTGCTTTGCACAGGGCCCTTAGATTAAAGTGCAGAAGCGCCTTACGCGCTGCCACGTTTAAACAACCAATAAACTCTCAACTAGAGTATAAACACAAATGTATATAGAGATGAATATATACGTGTATGCACCCTATGCTATCCTCTCAGACACACACAGTAATCATGTCCCCCGCTGAGCTACAGGAACACATCACTTCACCACTATTCTTCGGGCCGGTCTTCATCACCGCCGTCTATTAGCGTCATTATTGCCGTGCCGGCGATGTACACACACCAAGACACCATCACCATGAGAACGACGGGGAACATACCAAGGCTACGGTTGCCCCGGACAACAGTGATTGTCCTCTCAAAGCTGGTGCGCGGGGGCAGAGGTGGCGCCCGCTGCCTGTAGTCGTCCTCCATGTTGTGGAAACGATGGCGCGGCTGGTTTTCCTGCAAAAGGGATCACAGAGGGCATGAGGAAGTAGCGGGCGCTATTGGATGGATTGTCATGTAACTTCCTTCAGGTAGGGTTGACTGACTGTGGAGATCCTCTCGCTCAGCCTCTTGTGTTTCCTGCTAATGAGCCCATGTCAGCACGCTAAAGTGCTCCGGTAACCACGGAAACCTGCAGTTCTGCAGAATACTGCCAAAGGGTCTAAAAAGTTGCGTTCTCTCTACTGGGTGTTAGGCGACTGCTTTGGTTGCATAAGGAGCCGTTATTGCATAGAATTCTATTAGACAAGGACCTTACTTCTAACCTCATGTATCATCTCAGTAAACGTTGTAAACACGAGTTTATGCTGATTTCATGTCATCTTGCAAACATTATGTTCATTTAAATGGTGGTTGATTTAGAGTCAAATAGACCATGAAGACAGGTCACTGCTACTACCAGAGTCCTCTACAGCCATCCATGTCCCTCCACAGCGTTCCAAACAAGGTAACTTCCATCAATCGTTGCATAAAAGCCAAGATGGCCCCGACCATAATCCAATATGGCTACGGCTTTATAAGAGAATTCTACAAACCAATAGGGAACGTCACTACGACTACGTTAGTCACAGTCATCTTCTATACCACTTGAGGTTGCTACTATTGTCCTTAGTAGAGTTTATTCCATTTTTGAAGGCTTGTATTTTTACCAACTGGTTGGAGCTAATTAACAGAGCTTACTTTGGTCAGAAGTTGGTGCTACAGGAGATGCAGGACTCTAATCTGCCCAGGAAACAGACCGTGAGAGCAGACACAGCCAATGCGTCATGCAAGCTAAATGTTTCGACAAAGGGCTCATGTGGCACATCAGCTCTTCAACAAAGGCAAAAAGCATCAATGGATAAAACGTTTTTTGAATCTTGCGTCTTTAGCTTTTCTTATACGATACTTGAAAGGGAATGGAAACATGCTGCTGTGAGGTAGAATGCATGGCCCACAGAGTTGCTAACAGGGATGTAGACTCTTTTTTCACTATGTTTGGGTCCTGAACCAAAGATATCTAAGGGAGGCACAAAAGGAAATTCATTAAATAATAGTTTGTAATATATAATTATAATAATAATAATAATAATAGCCAAGAGACCTGCTGGGATTGCAGATTTTCTACTAAATAAGCTCTGACCAACATTATTGTACACAAAGTAGACTCAACAATTCCTTGAAAGGTACCGCATAGTGCACTAGTGTCTGACCTACTATCATCACAGCCAATAACAGTTATGTGATAAAGAAAAAGATTTCAATAACTATTAACTCTGCGGGGAGAAAACCTTTGCAGTATTTCTGAGATGTAAAACATGCAGAGTCTTCATTGGTCCCCCGGGCACTTCACAAAGAAAAAACGGGGCAACCGGGAGAATCGACTTTGAACCAGAACGTGCAAGAAGCCCTGAAGTTGTGAAGCTACCTGTGCAACAATCGTGGATGAGAACACGCTCACTCCTGCTGCTCTGGGTCCCTCTGTGTGTGTGTGTGTGCGTGTGCGTGTGCGTGTGTGTGTGTGTGTGTGCTGCACGCCCTTGTCCCAGGCAGTAAGCACTTTGCAACGGCGTTCTTTGGTAATTAAGCAAAAGTGAGAACAAAAGGGCTGCCTCAATAGGATCGAGTTGAGACCACAATGGAGAAACAGCGTCTTTGACAGAGAGCACTTTCTCTAGACCTGGCCCAGTGATACTGATACGGCCGACTCTAAGCTCGCCGCTGCAGAAGGTGAAGGGTGAGAACAAACGCTGTCATGATAATCTCCTTGGTGCAGCTCAAAATGGCCATGGTTTTTTTTGTGGTCATGAACAACGCTTTGAGTGATTAACTCCAAACTGTCAAAAGGAAAGACGCTCCCGCCTGAGTCCAAAGGTTATACGCATACAGCTTTTTATTCATGGACGAAATTACAGATATGGAACTGTCAAACGTATTTCAGATCTATGTTTGCTAGATTGTTTACACAAATGAGTGTAATATAAAAATAATCTTCGGCACAGAGCTATTTGTCAAGCCGACTACCTTTGACTGTTTGGTGGATCCAAGTTCTACTAGTTTTATAAACCACAAAAAAAGTGTATGTGAGAGTAACTTTCCAGCAACATCAGTACATCATGAATAGGTGTTTTGCTTACATACCGTTGAAGTGTAACACGGCTCGGAGTTGCAGGTGTTGGTGTTAGCCTCCGTTGCCTCGTCTAGCAGGCTGAGCTCAGAGTGGTTGTCATCGCAGGAAGCCCGCAGGCTCCTCTCTGAGATGGGCGTCAAGCCGCCGCACAGTTCCAGCTGAGAAAGCAAAATTTCACAAAATTGAAACTAAGCACTTCAAAAAGGAAACTAAATTGACCATTTGCGCAAAAAGTGAGGTGAAAGAAGGTGACTGTGAATTAGACCCCCTCCCTTCCCCCTCTCTCTCTCTCCATCTGTAGCGTGGTCGAGCATTGTGTTCATCTCTCAGCTGCATTAAAAATTCAGACAGCCTGTAACTGGATTCTCTTGTTGCTTGTTACTAAGCCACAGTCCACCACAATAAGGGGAAGTAAGGCTTTGCTGTCAAGCCAAAGACAAAAACAAAATGATCCTTGCCATACACACCTTGCTTTTCTCTTCCCTCTAAATTGTTAACATTACGTTGGAGTACAACTTCCCCGTCCTGCCATCATGTCTTTACATACCGGCAGTGGTTTGGCAACTCCAATGTGGACGGGGCCGTAGCCGGTGGACTTCAGGACGTACACGGCGTAATCCAGGCTGGAGCCTTCCAAGTTATTCTCGTTGACGAACATGAGCCGGTCACCAGGCAGCAGGCGGCCATCTTGATCTGCCACACCTCCGGGCACCAAGGACCGGATTACCAGAACTGTTTTGGTGGCATCTTCAGGATCCTGTAATAAGGATGGTGGACATAGAAAGACAATTTGAGATGGATTAGATGCATCGCGTGCTACATGGATGCAGGTAGAGGGCAGAATAAAAAGGGACCAGTGAATGTTGTGTGTCTCACAGAGAGGCAACCAGCTGCAGTAAAGCTCTTGTAGAAAACGTTCCATCTCAAATGGTTCAGCACGCAAATACCCAGAATAAATAATAGAGGTGCTTCTCTAATGTCTTGGCCCAATCCAACCTGACACAGCTACTCTTAGACCTCCGCCTATTGCAGTCGGCTCTTTCTGCAGAGGGGCTATGGGCATGGCGCTGACCTGGTAGTCCAGGATGCTGAAGCCCAGTCCCGACTCGCCTTTCTCCAGCTCGACCACCTGAGCATCTCGCTCCCACATGGCCAAAGGAGGAGACATTGGGGGCACGCCGCGCTTGGTGATGTCCTCAGCCGTGGGACAGGGGATGACACAACCCTGGTCCAACTGGGACAAGGAGAAAGGAAGGAGGGAGCTTTTTCAGAGGCTGTGTAACATATCTAATGAGGTTTATACTGTTTTACACCAATGCTTGACCCCTCCATTCACCCTTTCCCCAATGTGTGCCATCACCTTGTCGTTGAACTCAGCCAGCAGCTCTTTCAGGGTGAGATTGACGTCGTCCTCGTCTTCCTCATCACTGCCTGGAACCGTGGGGGGTACAATGTGGGAGCAAACCAGACAGACGTACTTCGGCAGCTCTTTCAGAACATTGACCACCTCCTTATGTGTCTCTCCAATGAGAGGGATCCCATTCACCTGCAAGAAGGATACTCTATTTACATGTGTATAGAGGCCAAGTGTAATTTTCCCTCAAGGTCGAGTTATTTTCAGTCTTTGGATGTCGAGCAATTGCCGGCCACAGTACATCAAGTCACAGCAGGGACAATTAAAGCCGGAAGCGGGGACTAAACCGAGCGAGGCTCATTTACAAACAATGTCGTTGCCATGCAGACGTCGTCTGTGGGAGATCAAAGGGGTTGAGCTGCGACACAGCGCGCAAAAGAGACACCGAGGACACGAGACCCTTTGCAGTGTTTCCTAGACGGCGAGCAAAAAAAATACCAAAGTTCATCTGAGTGGTTGTCATGATGACCGATAGGCGTGAACCGGCTGAGCGGAGGGGGAGAAGAGAGAGTCACATACACCCACCACTGTAAACTGTGCAGTGTTAACTAGAGTTGTTTCAGATATATGTCTTTGAAATGCAATATGCGAGAAGGGGACATGGTCACTGTGATGTCACCCGTCGGTTTGTTGACTACGGAGTTTGCCATCGCGGACGTCACCATCTTAGTATTTTGCAACCAGACAGTTGGAGTTAAGTACAACCGAATACACTTTCGTGAACTGAAAACACACTGTGAAACGGTTCTAATATGAAAACAAAATGAAAAATAACAAACAGCTACAAGGCCAACCAGTATAACACTAAAGTCCACTACACTTTAATACTACGCTTATACAGAAAATGAGCCGAACAAAAGTGCCCCTCTGCTGGTGACAGTAAGAAGAATTAAGTTATTAAGTTATTACTCGTGACTACTCCATTACTTCGTTGTAGTGGTCAGTGCAAAACCTCTGAGTGCATCTGGGATTTGCTGGAGGTCAGTTAAGTTTAAACGGGGGTTGGTCACAATGCAAATGGCCGCCGCTCCAAGCATCCTGCTATGTGGATTTGAATGTCAATGTCTGTATCCTGGCTAGAGTTGAGTTGGAGGCGAGTCGGTTACCTCCAGTATCTGGTCTCCAGTAAAGATCTTGCCGGTTTGGCCAACGGGGCCCTCGGGTAACACGGAGCACAGGTAGTGATGTCCCGCCCGCGCCTCCAGACTGATGCCGAGACCACTCGTATCACTGAAACGCTCCAGCTGACACACCTAAAGAAGAAGGAGGGGTTTTCTTCTCTAATTTTGGAAATGACTTCTAATTACTTAATACTTGTCATTTAAAAAAAAAAAAAAACATTTAGATTGGTACAATGCTAATAGACTTTCTATCCATGTCGTAGATTTTAGCCATGGAGATGTACCATGACTTCATATCGCTGTCCGACTGCATTCTGCCACCTCTTTCTGAGGTCCTCCTCCTCGGCTGAAGTCAGTTTCACACCTGTGAAATGTGCAAACACATAAAAGACCCTCAGCTCACATACACACACATCGTTCCACACTGTTCCAGGCCCTAGATGATCAAATCAATAAAGAAAAAACCACTTCATTCTACTTGTGACAAAACAATGTCACACACACACACACACACACCACAGGCACATTCACACCGTTTGTGATTATTGGCATACGAATGAGACCTTGCTGCAATCAGGGCTTATTTGGCTGTGCTCTCTAATCAAGCCGAGAAAAAAAGCTTTTCTAAATGAAGCGGCATATGCAAGCGGGGCACGAGACAAATCCTCCACAATGATCTGACTTAGTCGGATAAACACAAGACCAAACAAGACTATAAATAGACTCTTCAAAGAGTTTTCCATAGTCCAAGTCCAATCCATATCCAATCCATGTAACACTCTGGGTACCCCGATGCGGTACGGGAATTGGGAGCTTACCGTTTATGTAACTGTGTCGGGGACGTCCGTTGGCGTAGGCCGCTCGCCGGGAGATTTCACGCAGGGAGCAGATTCCTGGGAGACCGGGTGTGGGAGGGTGGGGACAAGTTTTGAGCCCACACATACCTGGATCCAAACACTCAAAGCGTTGTTCTATTTTAAGCAGGAAGTTATTTCAATCACTCAGCCCTTGGCAGGTAATACCTGTGGATCACTGCTGGCACAATAAAACCAACCTGTCTCTTGAATCCTGTTGAGGCCCAGCCGGTAGCGGTTGCCCTCGTGGAAGCTGTGGCAGTGTCGGAGAGGGTGCAGCGGAGGGATGTGACTCGGGCGGACATCCTTCCTCAGCAACCTCAGTCGGACCAGGGGGCCCGTCCTCCTCAGCACCTCCAGGGCGCGCTGCTCGCTGCAGCCCTGCAGACTCGCCCCGTCCACCTGAGGGGGGGAGGGGACGAGACAACGTATCAGTGAGGAGCACGGGGAGAGAGCCTGGAGGAACTAGTCAAAGATGCAAACCGTTACGATTTGGAAGGGAAAATATTTCAGACCACAAGGTAGGCTGTTTGTCTCAAGAGTAACCAAAAAGAAGCTTCCTGCAAGAACTCACAGATAAGATGATGTCTCCGATTTTGATGCGTCCATCTTGATCCACGGAGCTGCCTTTCACTATGCTCTTCACTGTCACACCAGCGCTGTAGACTGTGATAAGCAAGAAAAACTAAGAGGACAACATAGCGTCGATCGTGTAAACGCAGCTTCGTACTCACGCATCATCAATGATGCCCCACATACGGCAGGAAGCATTTAGCATTCTTAACTTTGTTTCCAACCAAGCTTCCACCCAAGCTGGGAATATTGATGACTAGCCCATTTACCTGAGTTTAGGTCACCTATGTAGCTTGAAATGGTGAATCCCAAGCCCCGACTGTTCTTAGTGAACTGCACGCTGAACTCGCATTCGTCCCTCGGGTCGTTGTGCTGGGAAGAAGCACATTTTTTTTTTTTTTAAAAGAAGTTATTTTAGGGGATTTTAAAAAACCTTTTTTGACTTTTTTCTATTTCAAACCTTTCTGTCCAAGCTGTCCTGGCTCAGAGCACGAGAGGAAAGGTGGTTGTCCGTGGTAACGTCCCTGGCGATAAGCAGCTTCACCTTGGTACCAGCATTTCGCAGCACCTGTGGTCATATGTAAACGTGGCATTACATGTCATAAATATTAAAGATGAATGGATCTGTTAGGCAATGCAAACTTCTCCACATGCTGCCAAAATAACAGCTAGCCGCCTTTGGTGTTTACGCCCCTATTGATCATATTTGGGGGAGTGGCTTTGGTGAATTAATTGGTAAAGATTTGACCACACTGGTCTTTGGTTTTCCGGTTGGAGGATTCTTACAATCTTGCACACTCTCTTTCTCATGACTACCAACCCTGCATGCAGGAGGCAGCTGCCCTGTAATAGTAACTTAGGCCCGTTTGTACCGTCCTCCAATATTGATCCCAGCTTTTCCCAGTTACAGAGAGACAGGGTAAGAGCTGGTATCGTCACAGAGAAAGACATTTGAGACACTCACCTGTGCCACCTGTTCGCTGTTCATGCCCGCCAGATCCGTGTCTCCGATGCGCAGGATCTGATCACTGCTACGCAGGCGCTTGTCCTGGAGAACCCCGTTACACCAACATTAAACAGTTGAATATATTCAAAGGTTTAAAAACGTTTGCAGACTTTCCAAACACACTTCAGTTAAATAAAACTGGCTACGCAGTTGATTGGCAGGTGGATTTACCCTTCCAGCAGCTCCTCCAGGAAGTATGGTCTTGACCATGACCCCTGTACTCCGTCCTCCTATGATGCCGAAACCAAGCCCTTTCCCGTCGTTAATCAGCTCTATCATCTCCACATGACGCCTCTAACGTGGCAGCGGTTGAGAGGAGAGGTAGGGAGAAATAAATTAGAGTAGAATTAGCAAAAAAGTGATGAACATGTTGTTGTTAATCTACATCCACTTTTTGACTGTACCTCGTGAGCGATGGCAGACAGGTTTCGCCCCATCGACATGGTGCGGGAGATGCGAGGTGGGGTGCAGTACTACAAAAACAAAACGAATGCCATGTGTAAGACAAAGAAAGCATTATATGACATTGAGTCACATTACATTACATGTCATTTAGCTGAGGCTAATGTAACATCTCATTTTCAATGGGTATTTATTCTCGTACCTGCGATTCAGTGGGAACGCAGTTGTCTGGGTGGATGTCTGAGAAGGACAGATCCAGCGAGTCCAGGGAGGAGATGCTGTGACCGGATCTGGCGTTGATGGGCCCCCGGTCCTCCATGGCCCATGTGTAGGAGTCGCTGTGGCTCAGCGCCTTCAGGTCCAGCGCCACGCCCGGGCAGGGGCCACAATTCATGGACACGGATTTTGAAATCTTTCCCTGGTAGGATTGAGAGAGGAATAAGTGAGAGAGAAGTTTAAATCGTATAAAATGGAGTGGATGCATGTTGGAGGAGATGGGTTCGGGGATGGGATAGAGATCAGAAGCACGATGGAAGGATTGACAAATGCGAGGGAAGGGAGAAAGACAGATTAGGAAGAAAATGGATGAGGGAGATAAAGCGATGGGGAAAGGGGATTGATGGAGGTGGAGGTATTAATTGGAGAAGAAGAAGATATGGAAAGAGAGAGAGAGGAATAGGCCCAGACAGTGATGGAGGGAAATAGAGAACAAATTGAAAAAGGAGGGCATTGTCACACAATGAAGAAAGATGTAGGACGGAAGATGAACGAGTTTTAACTAAAAGTAGAAGAATAAATACAGAAAGACGGGTTTAAAATTGAGCAGCATGGGAAAAGATAGGAGAGCAAGAACGCAAGGACGGAGATAATGGCTTTGCTTCAACACCACAGTGTCTAGAAGGAAGTTCTGATGCCTATTTATGTTCTGCATGCTACTTCATTCTAACAGTTTTGACACTAGTTGACACAGAAATATCCCAATACTAATGAAACTGAACTTTATATAATAACTGGGACTTATTGAACAAACATTGTTTCAGTGTCTGTCCGGATAAAAATCCAGAAACCATTGACATGACCCAGTGCTGTGTTTCCTGGAATGCAGATATGCTGAATGGCTGGAGGCTCACACAAGGCACACGAAGCTAATGTAATAATCCTTGTCCACATCCTCTGTGTGTGTGTGTGTGTGTGTTAATACCCCGGAACTTTAGGGTCAACTTATTAAAGTACACCACAACCGGCATGACCATTACTGTTGACAACAGTGGTAGATGAAAGGAGTACTGAAAGAATACATTTAAAAGCTGTGCCATGAATCAATCCATTTCCCGAATCAACTAAAGCTGACGACATTCGTTCCCAGCCAGTCGACACCTGGATCCAATTTATTTGAACAAATCCGACAGCATCCAATCGATTTGCTGTAAGCAGAGGCAGTAAGAAAAACAAATGCTTCCAAAGATCCTTTTGTTTGTATACCAAACAATGGTCAACAAAGGACTTTACTCAGGACCTGATTTGGGACCTGAATCAGAACTTGACTGTATCATATTTCCTGTCTTGACCCTGAGCTTGACTGTCTTGATTTAGGATTTGACCTGGAAGATTCCTTGTCTTTACTCCAGAACTTGCATATCTTGACTCTGGACTTGACTGACTCAAGACTACAATATTTGTCTCTGAATTATAGTGGAGTAGAAGTATAACCTGCAGAAAATAGGAATATTCCGGTTGAGTACAAGTACAGAGATATCGTACATAAGTTACCTGTGTGAGAAAATGTACTTATTTACGAATAACTACTGGTTGACAAGGTCTACTACCTTGAGGAAGTCCCACTGTACACACATATATATATATATATATATATATATATATATATATATATATATATATATATGTATATCTATGTGTGTACATATATACATACATATATATATATATATATATGTACGCACATATAGGCTGAGAAATGCCGGCTCCTCAGTATGATCTACAGACACTCTCCTTGCCTTCTTCTCTCTGCCCCTCTTCTTTCCGTCGGGGCTTTAGTGGTAAGCTTAGGTAAGCTGATTATTCACCCAGTTTGGTTTGCGCATTCAGTATTTTGGGAACGATTCCGACTGCTTCCCCACCATCCTATATAAACCAAAACACCCACGCAGTCGTGCTCGCTCTGTACCTTCACCGGGGGCTTCCGCTGAGCTTGCTGTAAGCTGAGTATATTATGGAACAGGGGGCTCTGCAGGACCGTCTTCAGCAGGGAGAGTTTCTCCTGGGTGGGGGCCTCTCCTCGCTCCTTCAGTTTGGCTTGCAGTCTCTCCACGGCCTCCAAGGCCAGCTGGGCATCTGCACGGAAAGAGCGTATCGTTTTGAGCCACTCTGAAGCAGGATTTCTCCACATGTTGTAGCTGCTGCTGCTGTGGGACCCCCGCACAGACCTGGACCTTTGATAATAAGCTGTGAAATGCCAGGCCTTAATTGAAGCGACGAGGAAATATATTCTAAGTCTTTCAACGTGACTTTGCTAAGAAGCCGGTCATTAGAATATGACGGGAGGACGGGTGGATTTCTCTGTCAGCACAGTGTTACGTATTGGAACAAGCCCGCCAGAGGGCCATTCCTTTTCAAGACCAAACTGTCAAACGTCACACTCCTCTCTTCTCAAATCTCACCTGGTCACCTGCAACGGGGCTGACCAATAACTTCAAATTCTGCAACAATAAGGAGAGCAAAGGCAAACAGCTGAGGTGTTGCGTCAGGTCGCATCACCCTTGTTTATTCGGTCGGGGCCGCAGCTAAAGAGCACAAGCCACACTCAAAGTAATTGTACCTGGCAGAAGGTTAAGACCCTGTAAACTCTTCCCCGGCAAAGTTTTGACTACCGACCAGACTGCGAGTTGTGTGCCACCTGTGCGTGTGACCCCCCCTGTCTGGCTACAGTAAACCCACGCCTGACACCTTGAATCGTAAGCCCTTTGATGACGGTCATGGCAGGGGGCTGGAGGGTGGGGGGTCGGGGGGCGAGGAGGAGGGGGGGGATGCACTTACCCATCATTTCCATCGGGGGCCCTCTGCGTATTGTTGTGCAGGGGGGGTTGAATCGTGTCTTTGTGACTTTTTCTGTATCTGTTACATTCTTGTCTCCTACATCAACAACACACACACACACACGCGCACACACACACACACACGCACACAGAAAATGCATTTGTCATTATTACAATTAAAGCAGGAAAAGGAAGTAACGCCTCATGTGCACAGGAATAGTTTGTGTGTCTACATGTGTTTCATTTCACCTCTACGTGCTCTCGACCGAGGCCTGTTTGTTTGCTTGTCAACTAATACTCTTTAGCCGGATTTAAATCTTCTCCAAGAGGGTTTTATCAGTCAGTGACGGTAATTAACAGCGACACACACAAGGGCCTCCCATTCATTCCTTGACGGGGGAGGGAATAGCCTGTATAGCATCAAAGCATGATATCATTGACATGATTTGATTTGCAGGGGAAAATGACAACGTCTCATCTGCAATCCAATTAGGGGGGATGGGGGGCAATGATAGGCAGCATTTACATGCCCTTCACAGCGGAACATTTAATCTATATATCTAAATACTTGTTGATGTTAAAGCGATGCGGTCAGGATGATAAAAAAAGAAATCAGTACAAATGAATGGCTTACAGTGTTTACGTGGCCCCTTCAGGCACTAATTTGATATCTAAATCAACGCGGCGATGAGCTCATTTCTTTATAAATGACCGCAGCGCGTTCGAGGCTATCACCGTGACGAACAGACGGACACTTCGGCCGAATCAAGCCTCCTCTCACCTCCATTGCTGCGCCGGTGGGCTCTACATCAACAGGTCCCCCCCACCCCCACATCCACCCGCCCTCCGCGCGCAGCTCCAAGGGGCGCAGCGCGTCCTGCGCCTCCTCCGCCGGTCCGCAGGGAGAAAATGCACCTGCGGAAAGTAGCTTGGAGGACGCTCCCCGGACGGGACAGGTCACAGATGCTTGATTGGACGACGGCGAGACATCGAGAAGCGCGTTGTGCGTTTTTTTAGTTTTTTCTCGTGCGTGTCCTGAGGCTGGAGAGCGCGTTCCGCGCAGTGCGCATGTCACCCTTGTGATCTTCAGGCAACAAGAGGCTCATCCCGACTGCCGCTTTAATCCCGTCAAATGCGTTTCAGTGGGACGCAGCTTGTTGGCGGAGGCCTCGACTGAGCCAAGTGGGATTTGTTCACTCCGTTTTCTTTGTGTATTTCAGACTTCTGTAAATAAACACGAATGAAGGACAGGCCCTGCCCCACGATGATAACTATATCATATAGCTATATATCACAGTTAATTATGATAAGAATAAAGTTAATATATGCCAACTTTCCAAAGAATTAAACCAATCTATAAAAAACATCTAATCACGTTTCCTTTCCTGCTAATTTGTTATTTTCTTGCCTTTTTTTAAACCTTAAATTAAGACTTGCAGAGTAATTTATTGGGTCTAACTTGGTCCCAAGTTGACCTTTGTTCCTCTGTATTTGGTAGAGGATGCGACCAGTTACACCTTACTTTTGGGTTGGGCTCCTTGAGCCAAGGCCATTTCCAGAATGTCCAACAACATCCTAAAACGTCCCCACCACGAACATTCTGGGAACCCCTGTTCGCTTTCACACGGCAGGTGGAGCCCTCGCTCCAGCGATTTAAGGGGCATAATCCAGCTCCGTGTTTTCCACCACACACCCCCATTTCATGCGCCCCCCCCCTCCCCCTCCCTCCCTCCCTCCCTCCTCCTCCTCCTCCTCCTCCTCCTCGGCTCCCCGCCCGACTGCAACGCAACGCTCCTTTCGCCGGGCTGCGCTCTATCAACCGAGCATCCACCGCGCCTCCAAATTGGTTTGTCATTTCTGACCCCTCTCTCTCTCTCTCTCTCTCTCTCTCTCTCTCTCTCTCTCTCTCTCTCTCTCTCTCTCTCTCTGTGTTCTCTCCCTCACTGTGTGTGCGCGTGTGTGTGTATGCGTGCGTGCGTGTTGACCACGGTCCTCTGCTCTGCTGCGCGCTGCGCCTGTGGACTTCAGCAGAAGTCAGTAAGAACATAAAGGCGGCCGCGGAAGATAAAGAGAGAGAAAGGGGAGGGAGGGAGGGAGGGAGGACGGGACACAGACAGACAGAGAGAGAAAGAGAGACGCCTCTATCCTCCGCCAGCACTCCACTGGATTTAGTGCATTTGGACGGACGCGATCTCCCGGTACCTGCAGCCGTGCGCGCGCGGATCGGGATACGGAGCACGCGGCCGTGGGTTTATTACACCCGCAGCTTCACCTCCATCCTTTCTGTCGGTAAGATTTGCCTGCGGTTGTTGTTGTTTTTTATTTTTACATACATTTTTTATTTCATTGCGGCAACATTTAACCACAGCAGCGGGATCCGATCGGTGACGTTATTTAATCGACTGGGGAAATATATTTACATCCGGGATCCGGGGGACTGTATGAAAACGGGGGTTTATTCCCGACTCCTCTGAACGCTGGATGTGTATGCGCCTATACCGCTGATGCCACGGTAAGGACCCACTCTCTATTCCTGCACATATTCTCTTTTTAGGGGGTTAAATTCCAAGTGTGGCTCCCGAACGCCATCACACCTCCGCGGTCCTCGCATCTGATCTGGGAATGTGGCCTTGCGCTTAAGGGGTGCGGAAAGTGGCCCTTACAGGACCAGGATGTGGTGGTGGTTGTGGGGGGGTGTGGGGGGGTAGTTTGCTGGATTCGCACACATGATGCTCTGGCGACTTGTTGGTTCCGATGAGGTGACGGGGCTCGTGACACCGATTACCCTCCCGAATAATCGATGCGATCATATTGAACACACGGTTGTCATTCTGTGGCCGCGTGCGTCTGCGACCCAAACAGTGTGGGGGGGTAGATTGCAAGGGGGGCAGATAGAAAGCCGTTCACCTGCCTCTGCCGTTTGGGGTAAAAACAGTGTATCGGAATGCGGTTAGCCCATTCCGTGCCGCGCCGGGCCGCAGTCCAGAGACAATAAAAGAGCCAGTGTCCTCCGTGCGCATACGGACAAGAAGCAACGGATCTGTTTTAACAGAGAAGGCGTCCGGGGTAGCGGGGGGGGGCAGATGACCTTGATGTGCAACTGAGATTTGCTGAAGGTTGCCCAGCTCTTCGATCTTGACCTGAAACTGAGAGGAGCACCTTTCCTCATACCCCCCCCCCTCCCCCCTCTCCCCCGCTCCCCTCTCCCTCATTCTTGCTAAATTCCCACAAGCAAACGCTGATCTCATCGTGCGTGCACGCTGATGATGAATGACATGATTTATCTTGCAGCGGGCTGCACATAAATGCACAAATCTTGCAATTGAAGCCGCCCTCAGTGGCTCACCGCTGTGGCTGCTTGGGTGGTTTTTCCAAAGCAGAGAATATATTTTGTGCAAACGGCCCGTTCAGTGTCAAGCGCAGGGCGGTTTGTAGGCGCCGTCGGCTGGACAGCATGTGTGCTCATCCTTCAGGGCTGCAGGTGAGAGAAGCGGTTCCCCTGTGCAGGTGATGGGAGGGGGGGGGGGGGGGGGTTGAGGGGCCTCTCGTCAGAGAGAATTGACATGGATTGCTTCGCTGCCATTCCGTGGCTTTCGCTCTAAGCGCCAACCTGTCTCCAAAGAGATTATTGTGTTGTGTGCGAGATGGATATCACCAAATCATCTGCTCAGCAGGCCATCTGCTTGTGTCTTAAGCGATGTTCTTTCTTTCAAACGGCGGAGAAGGAAGAAAGGAAAAAGAAAAAGAAGAACTGATATGTTTTGCTGAGAAGGTGCCTTTTTGCTTCGTGACCTCCGCGGTGTTTTTGTTTTGCCGTCCGATCTCCAGACCTCTTCCCTTGTGGATGTTCTAACGGCCGGAGGGGGGATGCCTCTCAGCATGGAAGTCACAGCTCAGACTCGCCGCTGTTAAACGTTGAGTGAAGATGCGACGCAGACGGTTTAAAAAATAAGGAAAAGTCCCTAAGAGCTGTGAGACGTGCAATTCTGCTTACAGCAGGCGTGTGTCACCAGGTCACAGATTCCTTTCCCTTGTGATGATGCTGGAGGAACACGAAAGCCCCTTGTGAGAAATGGAAGGTGGAGGTGGAGTGGGCCGAGGGATAGTTCTGCTAATTTGAGATTGTTTCGCTTCATTGGCCGAGCTGGTCTGACTTTCTTTGTTTGGAGCTGTTGATTCGTCGCAGTATTCGGCGTGGGTTTAGACGACGTCGTGAGCCTGCAGTGGACGCAGCGTGTGATTTGAATATGGGATCACAGATTAAACATACAAACCTCCAGATAAGGAAAACATCACGCACACACTTGTGTATTAGACAAGGACTCTGATAACGCCTCTGACGACTACAGCGCTCCTGGTTATATGCCTCCAACTCCCACGCCGTGTGCAGTTAATTCAGTTTGAGTGGGCCGTACGGAACCCGAGGGCCCGTGTTGCCACTCTGACAAGCCTTGTTTCATCACGACTATGCAGTTCCAGTCGTCTGTTGTTTGTTGGGTTCATTTAAGCTCCGCGAGGTAAAAGGTCTGAGTGTCAGAGAACGTGAAGGCGGTGTTTATTGCACTCAGACAGCTGAGGCATTCCTTCACAAATGCATTTGTCAATCTCGTGGCTTTAAGCTGTGAGGAAAACGTCTAGAAACACCGCAATAAAAATGGAGTTCGAAAGAAAGCGAAGCTGCCAGATTTGATTTCCTAAGCCGATGGTCGTGTGCCAAGTTTGACCTCACTCAAAAAATAAAAAGGTCTCTCTCTCTCTCTCTCTCTCTCTCTCTCTCTCTCTCTCTCTCTCTCTCTCTCTCTCTCTCTCTCTCTCTCTCTCTCTCTCTCTCTCTCTCTCTCTGTCTCTCTCTCTCTCTCTCTCTCTCTCTCTCTCTTTCTCGCCCACGAGACATCTCTCTCCCATTATTGAAGGAATGAGGCCAGGTCCTCGACCCGTCTTCCTCGTCCACCTAAAGCTATCGGTCATGTATTAACGCACCCGTCCTCCTACCCTCTTCCCTCCCACCTCACGCCGTCGGCTTACTTTCCCTCGCTCTGAATGTGTGGATTCCAGCCTGTTAGCGGTCCGAGCCGTTGCTTTGCTACCTGATTGGGTATACGCCTAAGAATGGACGTGGGGGGAACTGGCTGTCGGATCTCGCGGCTTTAGCCGACTCATTGCTCCCACGGCCTCCAGAGAGAGATGTCTTAGTCCTGCCCGGACGCTGAGCGGTCGGAGGGCTTTCTGCTCAAACCAACAGGGCCTATTATCTGAATCTGTGAGGCTAAATCAGCCGTGGTTCCGAATCAATGATTCAAAAGCGGAGGTCAAAAAAAGAAAGATGTTCCAGAGAGGCTTTAACCCGCTGGCACGGGATTAAATAACAATAAACGCTTTAGTGGATAGACAGATTTTTATTTTAAAGGGTTCCATTTTGTAAAAAGTGAGATTTTCGTTTCTTCGTGAGGCCGGTTTGGGCGCTTATGAAAATATCAGGATACGGAGAACCGTGAAAATACCGTGAAGCTCAATCCACACACACACACACACACACACACAGCTCACACACACACACACACACACACACACACACACACACACACACACACACAGCTCACACACACACACACACACACACACACAGCTCACATCCACACACACACAGCTCACACACACACACACACACACACAGCTCACACACACACACACACACACAGCTCACACACACACTATAAACGAGCCCGAGGGATTTCAGGATTTTTAGGGACCCTCATTGTCATTTTACCCCAAATCTCTGATGATAACAACAACAAAAGTAACGGAGTTTCCTTGAGATAATTGCCACAAATAGCAAAAGCAGAGGTGTTTCCAACTAGTTGGAAAGGCCTCAAAGGTTTGATTGGATCTGGTTTTTAATCAGCGTTTTGTAACAGGCAAATTAAGGGAAGCCCAAGGACCTCAGGTTGTGATCCACCTCACATAAAAATGATTGAGAAATCAATCAGCGTAAATTAGTTCCCAGAACCACCAGCCGTTTATTAACACATGTAAATTGTGCAGATGAGATAATGTCTTTGGCTCGTCCCCACTTTGTACTTCCTGCCACATCCCCACCAATGAAATAAGGAACCGGTATTGAATGTAATGATTTGACCAGCGACAATAAAAACACTCGCACCTCACCGCCCTGTTGCGTTTCCTTTGCAGTGATCGATCAGAAAAATCAACATTCTCACAGGTATTTTCTCTTTTTAGAGACGGACGGCTTTGACCGGTCGACCCGCTGTTTCTGAATATTTAGTCCAATATGAAGTCCAGCTCTACACCATCGTCAACTGTCATTCAGGACTTTATTGGCAGCGCGACGGGGCCCCGTCAAGTGAAGGCGAGGGCTGTCGCTGTGCTATTGGGAAGTGCCTGAAAAGTACAGTTTGTCATTTCTTTACGTACAATTATTCTCCACAACACACCTGACCGATGGCTTCCTTCACTGCTCCTCTCCGCCTGCCAATCTATTGTTTGCCTCAAGCTGTGCAGTTTTTCAATGACTATTTAAATGTTGCAACTGAAGTCGAGAAATACAATTTGGAAAAAGAAACCAAAAGACTCCGTGTTTAAGCAGCTGCTCGCTACGTTAGCCTCCGTAGCCCGTCTTCTGAAAACGTCACTCACCCACTCGTTGTTATCCCCTTTTTCACAAAGAAAGAGAAATAAAAAACCGTCAAACAGTCAACACATCTCTTGTTCACGCTCCTCATACTTGCCCTTCACCTCCTGGCGCCCCGCTCCGAGCCGCCAACACTCGCCGGGAAACGCACATGCGTTTATTCCCACAGACGCTCTGAACACACATCAATGAGGCGCACATTGACAACCACCAGTCTCACGCACACACGCACACACACACACACACTTGGGGCACTCAGCCAGCAGCTGTATATTTAGTGACACACCAGTGCCATTAGGGAGCTGAATGGAGAATCAGTGTACAAGGCCAGAGTGATTGGAAGAAAGCTCACTACTCCACCAAGGCCCGCCGATTATTTTGGTCTCTGCAGGAAATCATGTACAATAGCCCCCCCCCCCCCCCCCCCCCCTCGGGTGGTCCCCAAGAGAGGGCCATTTTAAAAGCGCGGGGTGTGGATTAAACAGGCGCCAAAGGCCGCCCCCCCACGGGCCCCGGGGGGGTGTGGGGTATATCTAACCGGGGGGTGTTTGGGCGACCACATGGCCCTCGCTGGGAGGGTCCAGGCTTTTTAAAAAAAGCGGTGCCTCGAAAATAAAAACACCCCACAGGTTAGGCAAACCGGCGGAGCAAAATATAAATTTGGGGAATGAAAATGAGGTCATCTGCCGGGGGGGGGAAAACTCCCTCCCGGGGCGCGGCGGGGACAAAGGGTTTTTATCATAGCGGAAGCGCGCCCCTGGTCTGGGGGAAAACATGTTGTTGAGAGAAAGATTTGGATAAATGACTTGGCTTTTTTGACAATGGGAGGGAAATTCTGGTTTGATTATTGTATTTCGACTAGAGTTTACTTCTACTCACAAGCGGCCCGCCCTCCTTCCGGCTTTTCATGCGTTCGCCTCGAACATGCACCCTACTGCATCCAATGATATTTTCTGCATCTTTTCCTTCTTCAGCAGATTGTCCACAATCAGTGTCTGCTGTAATACCATCATCCCCCGGCCGCTCTTAAATTTCCTGCTTACTGGGCTTTTACTTTAACTGCATTACATGCATCTTCCACTCCCTGTTCATCTGCTTCCTTTCAACATAAACGGAGCAGAAAGATCCAACTCAACGTGCTGTGATGTGATGCGACTGGTTGTTTGATGGCGAATTAAAAAAGAAAAGCTGGGATCTTGAGTGATATTGAACATTGACATCATTTGCGTTGTTTTAAGTTCCCTCTCTCATGTTGTATATGAGCGGATCAGCTGGGTCTAAGTAATGAATTCTGCCCAACCAGGAAACCGTGTGGAGGTCTGAAGTTCTTCCCAAAGCATTCGCTCTGTTTCCCAGGCAACCCACTGGGTTTACTATCACCTTGAACAATAATTACCATTCCATAAGGATCTTATATAAAGTTAAACATTGTTCCCTTGTCCAGTAAATAGGATGGACCTCAGATACATAAGTCAATTACAACAGTCACCATCTACTGTGTATATCTGTATTGCAGTTGACTGTAATTACCAAAGTATGTTTAACAATAATAATTCCCTCAAATCAAGATTTTTAAAAGAATTGTGACTCTAGCATTAAGCTAACAGGATGCTGTAAGATTCAAAGTCAATAACATTGACAGAAATCAGACTCAGTACATATAACTTTGTCCTTAAATCATATCTCGCCAGCATGAAGCTTACGTTGTGATCTCATCATCAAAGTTATCAAAAGAGTAAATATAACAAGACTATCCGGTCATGTCATTCTCCCAGAAAATCAATGTAAAGATTTTCAAAAAACAAATGAGCGCCACGTCTTAAACTGGCCTGTGAATACTTGACGTGCTCGTATCATCTGGTTCCAGTCGCAACGTTAGAAAACACAGGGCTCGAAAAAACACCGCAGCTCTGTGGTTTTTCTGCAGAGGACGTTACATCTCACGTGAGTTAAAAGCAGCGCGCCCCTTTGGCGAGCTTCGGCACTGGTCAATTCGTCCCTCACGTATCTTTCACATGTTTGCAATAAAACCATTTTACTGTGTTTTTGCGAAGCCCCCGATAGTGTCACACCAAGACGGATGAGCAGCGCTGTGGCCCGCGGCAATAACTCACACCGGCCACGCGCCGGCTTTCTAACCATGTAAGAAATGGTACGGCCGCCTCTCCTGCAGTGTGCGGTTTCGATCCCGTGATTGTCTCTTTCTCCCTCACGCGGCGCGCATATGATAGATGAGGCGGCGTCCATCATGTATCAAGACGAGAGGGAACCGGCGAGGACCTTCTCTGAGGAGAGCCTGTGCTGAAGCCTTTGATAAATGATATTTGGTATTTTAAAGCCAATCTGTGTGTAAAACTCATGTCACGCAATTACTGTGAGCTGTTCTCACGGGCGGCTACGACGCACCCCGCCGCGTGTGTGTGTGTGTGTGTGTGTGTGTGTGTGCACCCATAGATTGAAACGTCTCATTGTCCAGGGTTGAGTACAGTTCATCGGTTCACAATCACTGGACAAATCAACCATTTTTGGGGGGGGTTTCATCACGTACCTCCCTCCCTCCACCCCCATCCGTCTCTATCTCTCTCTCTCCAAGATTTATGTGGGCCACATAGACAAGAGTCTTTAATTTTCCGCCTGGGTAGATCGTCTAAACTATCGCTCCATATTCTTCAGGCTTATACGGAATCTGTCTGGGGGGGGTTGTGGTTTTAGCGTGAACGTATCGGGGGACTGCTGCATTTTATAAGAGGAAGGCATTGCAGAGCTCCCTTTAAAGCACCTTCAATCTCCACCAACAGGCAGTAACGCGATCTCTGGCGTCTTGTGGCGCCACAGTTGTCAGTAAGCTGAAGGGACACGTGAAGAAACATTTTAAAAGCATACTGTGGAGTGTTAATAACATTACTCATGAGTAGTGGTGGCAGCACCGATACAACCACTGACGCCCACAATAGAAAACACTATTGTTTCAGTGTGAGAAAATGGACAGCATCCATCATGATGAATTATTTCAGGAAGGCATTGTTTCCAGAGACTTTAGAAGAAAAAACCCTCTTCCTTCCCCTCATCCTGTACATCTTTTGTTTAGCCAGGCTACTCGGCCGGCGCCCCCCCCCCCCCCCCCCCCCCCACAGCGCTCTCATTTCCCCTCTAAATGGGTTGCTGGTTGGCGTCAGAGGAGCCCGCTCACCTCCATGTGATCAGAACGGTGCTGCTTTCTCTTATCTAGTCTCAACCCTGCAGCCGTATGCTCAGCTCCTGCAGCTGCTTGGGAAAAAGTTGGGAAATTGAGCAATTAGTCGTCAATAAAGCAATAAACTATGCAGAAATCTGGATAAATGTTGGCATGGTTAGTAAAATGTATCAACAGCAGCAACACAAACTAAAATAAAAAAAGGAAAAAGAACTGTTCTGTGAGGAAATTATATCATCAGAAGAAAATAAGTTTTAAAATGTCAGATGGTGGAGCTCAAGGAACTGAAATACTTGGTTTCGGTTAGAGAAAGATTGTATCTAAATGCGTGTATCTTCAAACAGCAAATGCAATATTCTAAACCATTCCACATTCGTCCCATCGATTAATACAAGTTGTCAGATGAATCTTGTTATTTAGAAAGTGCTTTCTAATCACACCACAACAGTCTATTAAAAGCCACGGGGCGAATCCAGCGTCCGGGACGCAAAGCTGAAATAAAACCAAACTCAATCATTCGATTCGACATTTAGGTTCCTCGTTGTCATGAGATTGGTGTTTTCTGCAAAATGACACACGTGTTTGATCCAGTTACAAACTGAAGACAGACAATCAGGATTTAATGAAGAATTCCCAACTCAGTGATGGAACAAAGCGTCTTTAAGCTCCCTCTTCCCTCTCCCACCCTCACGTAAATGAGTCCTGAGGGAAAATCCCCCCCACCTTCTCCTTCCTGCACCACCTGGCCTGTGCCTCCAAACGCAGATCCTCCTCCACGCTCCCTCATTCATCGATCCCTCCGATGTCGACTGGCTCTACCTGAATAATGCATAACGCGTGTGAGGACAGCGAGCGAGCGAGACATGAATGAAGGTGCTGCAGAGGTGTGTGTGGGGGGGGGCGCTTAGCACCTGACTTATTTCAAGCAGATGCTTCGTTGACTCGCGCAATTCTGACCGCATTGTTGTGTGCATGCGAGCGCATGTCACATGGGCTGGTTGATGCAGAATTATAATCCGTGCACGTGAGGTGCAGTGGATCAGTCTTTTGTCGCAGCGTCTGTCCCCCCCCCAGTTTGATATTGCTCGCGGCCTCTTGCCGCTGTGTGTTGCACAGTATGTTGACAGCACATGTACAAAATACTATGGAACAGAAACAGACCAAACAGATAGACACCGTTAGACCAATCTCACTTTACCAACCAGAGAAAGGTTGGGCGAGGATAGAGGGAGAGAGAGAGAGAGAGAAATATTATATAAAATATATTAAAACAAAGAAAGACAGTGATGGAAAACAGGGCACGAGGCACCAGGGGAGGTGTGTGAAAAGGGGCAGAGGAGGCACGGATAGAACAGATATATGAGACTAAGTGTGAATAACTGCGTTCGAGTAACAGAGCTAACAATTTCCCTTCTCCGAAAAGTGTCTCTGGCATTTGCCGCTGAAATGCCACAACGCCATATAAACCAGTTATCACGGCGCCAGAGAGCTTTTCAGGCTGTAAACCCACAGTGGAGAGATGGACCATTACGGACTATGATGCCCTGACACTTAAGAGGTCATTACGAGGCACGCACACACACACACACATGCACACGCACATGCACACACACACGCACACACACACACACACACACGCACGCACACACACACGCACACATGCACACACACACACACACAAACACACACACACACACAAACACACATGCACACGTGCACACGCACATGCAGACGCACACACACACGCACACACGCACACAGGGAGACGCTAAACAAGCGATAGCGGGAGGAAGTGGCCCGGGATCAGCCTGCTTCTTGGTTTGAGTGGCGTTTCACTCATAATGCGTGGAGACGGGGGGGGAGAACGGGGAGGGGGGGGGGGGGTATTCATGTTGCACCGACACGTTCACTACATATTAGGGCTATACGTCTCCATTGTGAAAAGTGACGGCGACTTCAGTTCAGCGAGCTTGAATAACACCCACCACCCTTCTCCTCCTCCCCCTCTCTCTCCCTCTCTCCCTCTCTCTCTCTGCAGGACTCGGACGTCCAGTCGCCATTGAGATGTGATTCTCTCGGGGTTTCATTTCACGTTGACCAAGCCGAGCACACCACCACTGGTAAGAAGACGTTGATGTAACTGACCCCGGTGACTATTTCAGACACATTTGAACCGGAGGGTGTTGACTCACGATGCATTCTCATCTACAGCCGCCTCCTTTGGGCCCGGGGGACAATAACGCAAATCTCTCTGTGCACTCACACTCACACCTGGCGAGTTGTTTTTGCAGACTGTTGAGTTTGCATTATGCCGCCCGCCCGCCCAGAGACCTCTGTTGTCCACGTGTGATTCCGCAGGAGCGCTCTAATTCGCCCCCAACAAATGTGTCCTCCCAAACTGGTAATCCAATCAGACACGAGCCACCGAGCTTCAGAGAGAACACAGCGGATCGCACAACAGGGTCGAGCGCTTTCCGAGCGAGAATCGAACGCAGCACAGAAGCGGGAACGGCCGCGCTGATTGCGAGCCGGCCCGGGTCCCCCGACGCATCGCCGGGAGTTAAACCGCCGGCCTTCATCCGACCACGCAGCCACTCACTGCAGCTTATTTACAGTGTCTTTACAAGCTGAGCCGGGCTTGTAAAACGTCGCGTTTACGAGCTCCTTTTTAATTAGAAATAGAGTCAGGCTGATGACTCACACGTTCAATTTATTGATAGGGAGGAGGGGAGGGTGGAGGAGGGGAGGGTGGAGGCTGCTCGAGGGTATTGACAGCAAGTGGGAGCATCTCGGCAGGTTTCTTTCCCCCCTCGCTCCAACAGGAGCTGGAGTATGTTGAATTTTTGCTGTATAAAGACCCAGAGGCCATGTTTTCATGCGGTGTCCTCTTCTTAATGGATTGAGCCGCCTCAGAGTAACTGAATGAGGCTCCTGTGTGTGTGTGTGTGTGTGTGGGGATTTGCTTTGTAGTCTGTTCTGCTTTTTCTTTTCTGGCTTTCTTTTCTACCGGTTAAGGTCAATTTTACTTAAGTGTACGACAACTTTGTTTTCCATTTGAAAATAAACACACAAAGCCGGAATTTAGTTTGGAAGTGGATTCAGTGAATTATCCCAACAAATGCCAGTATTCTTAGTTTTAATAGAAACGGACAGTTTGTGTGTCCATTTCAAATGCACCTCCGGTCAAGTGCATGTGCTTTTGTGCGTGCGTGTGCTCGTGTGTCACTCCGCATGCTTTCCTTCCTCCGCATGTCACGCGTGACCCGCAGTGCTGGCTTTGAAATGGGACTCTGTGATAGCGGCCGGGTTTGGTCTTTATTTCACCGTGACAATGAGTGGAAAGAAAGAACAACAGGAAAGAAGGATGCATCATTCTTCGTGTGCGCGTTGGGGGAAGTGTGTGGAACAGGTGCTTCCCGCCCGGCACGCACAAACCACGCAGGGCTCCATTTTCCACAGTGCTAATGAGCGCGCCGATTGAAAGGCGATCCGTGGCGGTTTCGCAGGGTTAAACAGCGGTTGCGCGTGAGTGCAGCGGCAGATGCCGGGGCAGATACTGTATCAGATGAAAGAACTATAGGTGAGAAAACGCACGTGCCATTATTTAAAGGTGACGACATTTATTTGGTCCTTTTCTCTCTTTTTCCATCGAGCTTTGATCGAGATTAAAGAATGCAGCGCAAGTCCTTTTTAAAAAGGGACCTTATGGATTTAATCAGGTTTTCACGATAATTAAAACGCCAGCCGAGGCGGCGCTTACACACATTGCACCCGACGTCACGCACGCACTCATTCGCCCACTGCCCTCCTGTTGGCCCCGCCCCTCTCCTCCCCCAACACAGGCTTATTGTCTTAAAGTGTGACCTTGGCCGGGAGGCGAGAGGCCTTTGTCCTAAGACAATGGCGTCCATATTGCAAACCATGCCAGTCAATGGCGTCCACGCAGCTGCCAGAGGGGCCAGATTGTTCGGGGTGCAAGTTGAAGGCTTTAAGGCAGGCACTTGTGGCGTGTGTGTGTGTGTGTGTGTGTGTGTGTGTCTTTTCTCAGTAACCATTTGTGTCTGTAAGATGCAGGCCTGTTTTCTAGAATCAGCAGATGGGTTCGGGCAATTAGAGTCAGTTGCCTTCCCTTGTGTGGATGCGTGCACACAAACAGACACACCCCAACACACACACACACACACACGCGCGCACAATACCCAAACACGCCCAGGGCCAAGCATGAGGCCGATGTCTCTGAAACACTAGACCTGGAAGATGCAGTGATGGAGGAGGACATGCAGAAATGAGAAGAGCGTTGTCTCAAAAAGTCAGCGAGGGCAGATAAATACCGACAGGCATCAACGTTCATCAGGACCATGAGTGAATAATCAGGATCATTAATACCCCACCAAAAGTTTTTGTTACCTAACTAAAAGGATAGAATAACAAACTGTTTACTGTATAATTCAACAGCACCACAAACCCAAATGCCACTTCTACGACATTAATGCGATGTGACCATAGATGCTAACTACACATTTATAATTCAGAGTTAGTTTTAATTATAACCAATGATACATTTACATAGAATTCTAAGCAGTCATACTTCATAATGTCACTCAGTATTTCCCATTGCTGTAACACACATTGTTGCATTTCAATCGTCGTTATAAGGGATTCAAATGCAGTTACAAACAATGAATATTGAGAGCGACTTAAAAACATGTTGTAATACATTCTAAAATTGATTATAATACATTAAAAAAACAAAAAAAGTATTATATGCTACTGAAGTGAACGAAATTACAAAGATATGACAATTCATCATATGAGCTATGATTGATATGTTTACTGAACCACTATGAATATATATGCTTAGAACTACATTGATGCTATAACGCGTGTGTGATTTTAACACGTCTTGCTAAACCAATACTAATATCCATTAGGTTTATGCCCAACAAACTGTGAATATGGCCACAAGTAACAAAATGTCTCACACCTGTGCAGGTGTCATGTGACAGTGAAGATCGGTTCCAGCTGTGAACACCAGTCAACCCACCCCAGGGCCGCCACACCCGGCGCACTCGACCTTTGACCGCTAGAGCGGAGCAGCCGCTGCCTCGTTGTCCTGAGCCGGCCGAGGCTGCGGCTCCCAGGTGTGCGACCGCGTGAACGTGTGAATGCGCTCCCGACGCCGCCGTCCGCGCGAACACAAGCGCGCTAAACGAGGCTCGCGAGTTGGCAGCTGTGGACGGCGGAGAGGAATCCGGCTGATCCTGGATCTGCCGTCTCTCGTGGGTCCATGCGATCGCAGCGTCCTGTTGACTGGGATAAAGATAGCGGCTCGTCCCCCGTGCACTCTTTTCTCTGCCCTTTCTTTGCTCTCCTTGGATCGAGGCAGAGCACCGGGGGACGCAAACACACACACCTGATCACACACACACACACACACACGTGGTTGACTTAAATGCATAAACAAAGACTGAAACCACTTACACGCACATTGCCACCTGAGTGCAGCGGCCCAAACGCCCCACACGCACACGCTCAACAACAGGCAGCGGTCCACAGAGAGGCGTTCTGTCAACAGCTTAGAGGAAGAGCGTTTTGTAGGCCCGGAGGATTCCTGGAAGGATAAGCTGTCTCATTTGTGCGAGGCAAAACAAGGCGCCGTCGTGTCTTCGCCGTGTTTGCGGCGGTTCCTGCTGGTGAAGCGGCGCTCGTGGTGTGAAGCGGGAGCTGCGCCGTATCCAGCGTGGCTCCATGTGAGGACGGAGCAGATGTGCCCACAGATGTTCTCCCCTCCACGTGCCTGTTTACGGGTTCAATTATCCTCATCGCCTACTGCAGAGGTTTGTTGTTCTGTTCGGGCGCGGATTTCGGAGGAAAACAGCGGTTTTACAAGGCCGCGTTGGGTCCATCCCTGCGGCGCCGCAGACTCTGATACCTTTGGTTTCATGCTTTGGGGGAAAAGTTAAGAAAGCCTCTAAACATCAAAACTTACATAAAGGAACACATGGAAACGGGAATATGTGATCCTACCCATCATTAAAGATGATTAACTAGTTCTAAAGATGTAATTTAACAGAGAAATCCATTGTACCCATATTGGCATTTGCATATTTAAAATTTATTTGAGTTTTTTTGTCCAGAAACTCGGCTCTGCGATAAGAGTTCTTACGATCCGTTGCACCACTACCGACGATTCTTTGCCCTTCGAATACTTTTATCCAGTCTTGAATTGCTTACTGATTTCTTGTCCTTGACTGTACTTGTATTTTTATCTTTACATTTCTGTACTCTACTTGTGTAGCAGTCATTTACCTCTGTCCATGTCTTCGCCGCCAGCTGTCCGTCTGTTTCTGTACATGGAGGAATACAAATCCAATGTCTGTGCCCTCACACGTGGCCAATAGACGCAGATCCTGATGCATTGTAGAATAAAGTGTCATTTTAAAATAGAAAAATGATGCAAGGACGTAGCATTTTGCAAAACGCTATGGTGATGAACAGCATGTATGTATACAACAATAGTGGAAGCCCGTTTGAGTATCATAGCAATAGCATTAAGAAGGATGCAGGTAGTGTATATAAAATACGACATGTACATCAGCAGCTGATACGGGAAACGATAAACATTCAAAGCCCATTTGAGCTTGGAGATCCACATTAATATTTGCGGTCCACCCTCGGCTCCTTTGGACTACAGCTCTCTCAAGGCGTGTGGCTGCTCGCCTCGTTGATTGGAATGCATCTGCACACCGGGGACACGGAGGTGCAACAAGATCCGGACTTCTACCGTGCGTGATTTGAATAAGAAATGATTAGATTATTGATTTTGGTTATTTGGGTCTCCCGCCCCGAGATGATTTTGTGGCGGGCGCAATCACCGCGGCTGACATTTAGCACTGTGTTTACCTTTAGCTGTCTCCAGTGATTGCCGCCCATATACATCCCGCCGGAGCGCTTTGTGTCATCCGTTCTTGTGCCATTTGGGAAAAATTGATGGATGCAGGCTTATCATTGTTTGCCGTTGCGGAAAAAAAAATAATCACGGCGCCTCGCAATCACGGGGTGGGCTCGTCTTACGGGCCCCCGCTGGATATCACTGGAAAAGATACTGGAGGCACGGGGT